TTGTATTGTGATACTAGCCTAATCACCTTTTCTACCTTTTAGCTAGAAAACAGTGAGTTACTAAGCTGACAACACAGTTGTCCACGCATTTTTTGCCACGGATCAGTGTGTAGCACAATACTGCAGCGAATATGTAGCTACATGATAGAATTTTGTGTTTGTACTCTTTATTTTAGGCGAGTAGTCAACTTCCTAACTGCTACATTAGCTCCTTGGCTAACCACAGCTGCACATATAATTATGTTCACTTTTGTGTTGTCTCTGTTTATGGTTAGTGAATTAGCTGGTTTGCTAACTGCACCAACACGGGTGGTATCCACACGTTTCATGCCCTCAAACCACTTCCAAATGTTACCATCGTATATGATATGGTGTATTGGTATTCAATAAATGTTAAACCATCTAACAATTATAAAAGGGTAAGCAGTGCTGCTAACTAGGAGAGAGTAGCTGGTTAACATTAGCTTAGCTAGCATGATAACTAGGGGTGGGAATCACAGGGCATCTCACAATATGATATTATCACAATATATTGCCCATACTGTGGTTCTGTGATACTCAATATATTGCAAGACAATTCTTTATGATACATCACGATATCTGTGTAACTGAGGAAAATAAAATACTCCTAAATAGGCAAATAGCAGGTATTACGTATTTATTCGTTTTTTGTTTCACAGAATTTGGCAACCAAAATGAAACAATGTACAACAAAGCGTATAGTATAGCTTCATGCCTCTTTAGTACACATACACTGATTGCTTGTGTCATCATTTCAATGTAAAATAGCCATAAACTGCCAGAAAGCAGAACAGTTCTGGGGTTAAAATGCCTAAAGATAGAACACAACTGTGCCTCACTGAGATCTTTTCTAACTGTGTAAACTTACTAAAAATAAACAAAAATACCTGTTTTCTGAGGATCTATGAAGAAAAGCACATGGTGAGTCCACTGTGTCTTTCAGTTATCAGAGATTTTCTCATTCAGCTCATGATTTCATATGAAGCTTTTAGCTGAAGTCACTGGTGTGACCGACTTTATTCTTAGGTAACTGTGAAAAAATAGAAAACAAATGGATTAAATTACATATTTTAGTGGATATTCCATGATGGACAACATGTGGTTTGATGCTCTGTAGCAGCCATTTTGTAAAATGCATTGTTCATTAAAATGTCTCTGGTGGTACCTTTCTTATGTGTAACACCAATGAGGATCAGTAACACCAGTGACATCTATGGATAGATAAAGAGTGGACATTTCTGACGTTTGGGTTGCCTTGGTCACACCCCAAAGACTAGTGCAAAGGCTAGTGTTACTTCGTCTTAAGACTGCAGCTTATCACACCAACTGTGTAATAAGCTGCAGCCCTGCCCACCAACTGCTCGCAACATTCCCGACGTTCTGCAGGGGTGAAATTCTGCTCCAGCTAAGATGATAAAGTTTGTGAAACAATAACATGGACTGCAAACACATATTGCAGCTGCATCAAGGTGTATTTTGTGCCGCACCCCCTCACGCGTGCATCTGATCCTGAGAGTTTAAAGTGTTATTCTGATGGTGAACATTCGTTCAGAACGTGTTCGAGACTCATGTCTCTACCTAACCGCTGCATCTGTTACTGTTACTGACAGTGGTGGACGAAGTACACAAACCATGTACTTGAGTTAAAGTAGAGATACCCAAGGTACAATATTACTCCAGTAGAAGTAGAAGTTCCTCCCTTTAGACCTCCACTTGAGTAAAAGTACAAAAGTATTTGCCTTCAAATGTACTTAAGTATTAAAAGTAAAAGTACTAAAAGATTAATTATGACTCTGATGTCCTATTGTCATTTTTGTAACAAGACTCGCTTCATTAACTCATTTTAGGTGAAAACACTCCAGTGTCTCTCTTGGTAAACCAGTCTTTTAATAGAGTCATTAATTAGTGATGCTGATGTCTATTAAAATTATCATAAGCACAAAACACTGAAGGCAAACAGTTTCCATCAGGTAGAACTGAGTGGCTCTGAAATCATCTTTTACAAACAAGCAAAGTTTCAGTTTAAGATTTATTTGCAACTTAGTTACAAGTTTAAGTTTAATAAAAACTTTAAACTCAGATTCACAAATGAGTTTCCTTTACTAAACTGCATCTGTAGGTCTCTGTTCATAAACATAAACTAGCAAAAACAAACTTACTATAAAATGAAATGTGTTTATATAAATTCAGAAAAAAGACACGTCAGTCACAACTGCATATGAGTACATATTTCTATATTGTGGTCTATTTACACAAAGTTAGGTTAGTTCATCATTTATGTTGAATAGACACTCCCAAAATTTTACGCTGCTGCACTGATGTTGAACCGCGTGCTGCACTGGGTCGGTATGTCCAACAGGTCAAAACAAGCTCAAAACAAAGTGACCGCTGTGCCCTGATTGGTGTTTTTGCTTCACACCTCTTTCGTTTTGACGTTACGTTTTTATACACACATAAACCAAAAGGAACGACAGATTTCTCATAATGTAGTGGAGTAAAAAGTGAGATATTTGACTTTGAAATGTGGTGGAGTGAAAGTAAAAAGTCCCCCAAAATGGAAATACTTCAGTAAAGTACAGATACACAAAAAAACTACTTAAGTACAGTAACGAATTACATTTACTTCGTCACTGTCCACCACTGGTTGCTGATGGAAATCTCTGAACAACGCGTCTTTTGAGACCCTAATGCGAATTTACGTCTGGTTTTAAAAGATGCTGCCGTGAGTTGCTGAAATTGTAGTAAATTGAGCGAAATATATAATGAGCTGCCTGTGTAAAATGTCCAGCCAGTTTTTGTGTGTTTTTCCCACGTTTAGCGCTCACTTAAATGCATATGCATGAGAAAGAGGAGTGCATTTTGTGTTCTACCGGCCCATAAGATGTGCATTTATCTTGTACGGCAATTTCGTGCATAACACAAGGTTAGAATGCGTCCAATTTGCGCCTGAAACTGGCGTGTAGGATGGAATAAAATTAGCTTACAATAATGCTGATTTTTTTTTAAAAAAGTCTTGATCTCAGTGATCCCACCCACACACAGAGCACTCTCACTCTGCCACACATGCGTCCAGCCACGTTCCTTCTATTTCAAACTTTTTCCATGGCTTTATGTTCTTATAGTATAATGAGCCTCATAAATCAGTTTAATTAGCCTGAATATTCAGCGATTTATATTTAATTACCTGGGCTTTATTATGAAGCACATAAAGAGTGATAGGCCTAATGAGCCACGTCTGTTCCTCTCTCTTATAAAACGTGAGTATGTGTGCTGGGGGGCGGTGGGGGGATTTATGTGCTGCAGGTGTAAACACAGTTGGAGTCTTGGCTGAAAACACACACATAACCCTGAGTCGTTGCCCCCTGTTGGTGGAGCTCTGGCACAGCCGTTTCTATTACCTGCTTATAATCATACCAAAATGCCACCCTTATTGCATGTAACTGTGTCCTCTGATGTTAGCATTAGATTATCTAAGTTAACATGAGATCCAAGGCATCTGCCTTTGTTGAAGGAATAGTTTAATAAGCTGCAAGACTAATGTTCCCACCAAGTAATGGAGGCTTATACCTCACCAATTAGCGTCATCATGCATTAACATATGTGTTAGACTGCATCAAGTTAAATCATGGAAAAAGTTTTCCTCACTTTTTTAAAAATAAAAGAGAGTGATGTAGTATATAAACAGCGTTAAGTTTCAAAACACACTATCCACTTCCCAGTCAGTCCATATGTGGAAACTAAGCTGACTTTGCCAAGATGTATGTCCTAACACTCATCTGAATCATGTATAATGATAAAGAACATTTCAGAACAATATTAAGGTTTTTTTTTCACTTTCTTAGCTGACCGTTAGCTCTAGTGTTCGCTCATACAGCCCCTATTGGTCCTCTTTGTTAGATGTGAAAATGGTTTATGTTTAAAGTCCCTTTTTCCCCTTTATATTGGCCCACATTCATGTTTTCTCATAGTTCTCCAACATGTATATCTACACTAAGGTCCAGTCCTGTTCCTTATTTTTACCTATACTCCTTGTTTTTGACCTTCACCTTGCACCTTGGAACTGAGTTACAAGGGTTAGTGGTTGAAATCTTCCTCTTTGAAATGGGACCCTCAAATAAAAAGACCCTAAAAACAGCATTACTTCATTAACAGCTACTAGCGCTGCTCTGTAGGCGACCCTGCCAGTCTGCAGTGACAGCAGAGGAGGGTAAAGTTCAGCTCCTCACTGCTGGGCTTTAGTTACATTTAGGGAATCTTATGATCTTCAAAGAAGGGGGGGGGGGTGCAATTATTTATTATCCCCCACCTCTAATTCTTCAGTGATATGAAGCTGAGGTCAGATATTCGCCAGCTTCTTGTTTGTAATTTTCTCGTTCCACCTTAAATGGAGCAGCAGTTCAGATGTCTAAGGTGCTAGAATGTAATTGCTGCACCGTTTAAGGTGGAACGGAAAATTGAGCTAACTACTGAAACATTAACATACTACTAGATGTAATTGATTTAGACAGGCCAGCGTTAGGCCTGCTCTCATAGATCGCCTCCGTGTGAGGATACACATACATGAATAAACTCACTTTATCACTAACAGTTTGAATATTATTTTGTCTTTTTGGCCCTCAGCCCAGCACATTACTTACTTACACGTAGAAGTTTGGACTCCTCTGGTGTAGAGGAGCTAGTATTGTTGTTTTGCTGTACTATTTAAATGTAAACTTAATAACATCAATACTTATATAGGTAGTAAAGGTGTAATGATTTCAATTTTAATTTTTGTGTAAAATTGCCTTTTGAGCCACTGTGGTTTTACGGGTTAATTCACAAATTTAGTGTGTAGAAATATTTATTGAATGACATTTTATTACCCGAGAATCTGGTACTTCATGATTCTGTCAAAAAAGCAAAATGAAAGTGTAAAAAGGCCTTAAAGTGTTAATTTCTTAACACTAGATTTTCATTTTTCTCTCTTTCTTTCTCTTTAGAGAGCAGCCTATCTTCAGCACCAGAGCCCATGTCTTCCAGATCGACCCCAACACCAAAAAGAACTGGGTCCCCACCAGCAAGCACGCCGTCACCGTGTCCTACTTTTACGACAGCACCCGCAACGTCTATCGCATCATCAGCCTGGACGGATCCAAGGTCAGGGCAGCGAGCCGTCCCACACTACCACACGCCAAAAATATGGACCCCATGCTAAATAAATCGCCCGTGTTATGCAATAGAAGTTCGGCTGCAAAGTTGAGCTCCCACACTTAAAAAGCAATACACTGAATTTACTTCAATCACAAATATTTACCAGTTATGAATGTTATTATTCTGCCAAATTGGCTAAAAGGGCGATTTTTAATTTTAATTATCCAGTTTTTGTTTATTATTTCTAAACATTTTATACACTGACTAGACATGTTCACTGGATCCCTCGTATCTCAGAGGGCTCATCTTGTACAGTTCACTTCAGCTAATGCAGTAATGAAGCGGCCCTTAGGGCGTCTGGGATTCCCCCGAGGGGAAAGACCAATAGGAGGAAGGCTTGGTAAAAACGCTGTTGAAGCGGACGGTTGATGTTTGTGTATTTTTCCTTTCTGCTCCCTCCCTCTCTCTCTCACACAGACACAAACACATATCAGAGAGTTTCTGTGGGGGTGGTGTGGTGGTTATTTTGGACTCTGGGCCGGGTTAAGAGGAGGAGATATTTTAGAGGGCAGGGTTGCGTAACTGAACACACATACACAAACACATACGCAACATGACTCCCCTCAACTCAGCACCCCACCCACCATGACCTTCTCGTTGCTTCTGTGGGTGAACCAACTCTTTTCCAGGATTTTAAAAACATTTATCTTGGCAGTAAGGGTGTCTTGCTTGTACATATACCATATATCATATATATATGCAAATAAACATCCACACAGTAAAAAGTAGTCAGTATCTTGTGAGCTAGTCTGGAGAATGGTTCCAGATGTTTCCCAGACACCTCCAGCCCTCACATAGATTTGGTTGTGAGTTCAGATCATGCCTTCAACATGGCGGTGGTTTGTGAGGGAAGACTGATTGAGGGAGGGGGGAGAACTCTGGGAACTTGGGCTGGAGTTCTGGGCAGTTTCTGTAGCTAGAAGGTCATACCCCCCCCTCATAGCTGTAGCAGGACTGATGTAAGACTGAGGAACAGGGAGGAGATGGGGTGGCGGTGGGGTTGTGAACACTGCATGGTGAGGACGTGAATTTATAGGGCGCTAGATTGGAAAAAGGAGGGGTTTCAGGCATGTTCCTCCCCCCAAACCTCAGTTATAGCATAACTACATTTAACTTCTGTCAGCAGCACATCTGATTTGACATATTGAAGGATTGATTATCCAAACCAGACACTGGATGGTAAAAATAAATGATACTGGACTTCCTCGAGGAGAGTTTTGGAAATGGTTAACTGAGCACACTGACGCGTGTAATTATTTGTACTAAAGTAATTTGTATTTATTACAATATTAGTGTTTTCTGAGCAAATGAACTTACTGCCCAGATAAATGGCTTTTAAGTATAATTTTCTCAGGCGCTTAAGTTTTTAATGTTTTAGTGTATCTGCTCTTTGCTTTTATTACAGCTTTCATTCTTTTCAGGAGACTCTCTTTCAGTTTCCCAAAGAATCTGCAGACACACCTCCAAAGTTCAGTCTTAGAAGCTGGTTGATCATTTTCTGAAGTAATGAAACACATTCAGTGGTGTTGAGGTCTGGACTCTGGGGTGATCAGTCCATTGTTCAGCTTCTTTGTTTGATGTGTCCGTCTCCTTTTCTCAGTGAGGTTCTTCTTGAACAGCTACACATCCTTTCAGACCCACAGCGCTGAGTCGTCTTCTCACAGTTGAAGGATTGACAGAAACACCTGTGGATGTTTTCAGATCTGAAGCAGCTTGATTTTCTCCTCTCTCTCAGAGATGAAAGCTTTAAGTGCTGTTTATCTGATGGGGGCAGTTTTGGTGGTCTGCCAGGTTCCTGCAGGTGAATTCTCATATCTATTATGCAGAAATATCTCCTGAAAAAATTTTACTTAATGGCCGTTTTGACTTGAATTTAAATAAATGAAGGGTGCTCTGCAACACATACCTGTCTAGTCACAGCACAACGTCCCAAAGATGGCCAGTTACAGCATTAAACTGATCAATGGCAGCAGAATCAATCGTTCCATAGTGACCCTTGCTTCATCGACTGCTTCCTGTCCTCTAATCAGTTGGGATGCAACCACAGCCTCCGTCCTATACGCACACACGCATTCATCATAGAGCTGTTTCCCTTAGCAACCAGCCTGACTTTCACAGGCCCACTTTAAACTGTAAACTGTAGCTGTGTGCCGCTCTCAGCCTTCCTTTGATCATCGCACATGTGATTAATCAGAAAAACGCTGCAGCATCCGCCTTTATTAGAAACACAATCGGCCTTTTGAGAACCAATTTCAATTAACTGGGAGATTTTCTAATATCCTGCTGTGGTTAAGACCATACACGCCACACATGCATGCTAATTCACTCTCAAAGGCAAGAAAGAATTTGAAGCTTACTTGACTGAAATGTACTGTATTAACACTCAAATATGGTCATTTCGCTGTTCTTTTCAGGCCATTATTAACAGTACAATCACCCCAAACATGACTTTCACCAAGACCTCCCAGAAGTTCGGCCAGTGGGCGGACAGCCGGGCGAACACAGTCTACGGCCTCGGCTTCTCCTCCGAGAGTCACCTGAGCAAAGTGAGAAACATAGAATAATCTGCAGTCACTGTGTTTTCTTATAACTGGAGGTGGTGTAGTTCCTTTACTGGGTATTGATTTTGAGCCGATATCAGCAGAAAACACTAGACTGGCTGTCGGAGGGAGAAAAGGAACAAATCCCATCCGATTACAAATCTATTCTGACAATATCGCAGAATTTCTCTGAGAGCCACAAAAAAAAGTGATGTACATCATGTGATGATAATAATGGCACATTTTCCAGTAAGTTCATATACTTTCTTCATATAATCATGAACATGCAATACTTGTAGATCTTAAGTGAAGCGCTTTGATTAAAAATAACTCCTTTCAAGTCAGATCAGTATCAGCCAGTTCTTTTTTAACCATGATACAATTAGATTTTATTATTTGGGTACTTTTAAAAATACACTGAATAATAATCCAATATGAGTATTTACACAGTAGTAGACCAAAAAAATACTCTAAGCTTTTTTTAATTTTTATGTTTGAACAATAGTCTGTAAAAATACATATATTGAATCTTATTATAATGGATTATGGACAATTATAGCTTTCCAAAATCAATCAGAGCATGACCAGGCCTTCATTTGGGGCCATAAGTGCCAAAACTGTATAGAAAATAAACAAATCAATAAAAATGAAAAAAAAGTTTTTGAAGAAAAGATTTTTAGTTTGGAAAAACATTGTCTATATTATATTTGAAGCTAGAAACAGACATTAATATATATCTGAGCTTGTATGTATGAGTTTTACAGTGACTCTTTCAGTAAAGAATTCTGACATAAAGCTGCTGCCGCTGTTTTACATTCCTAACAACTAACCAGAACACTGCTATAGCTATGACTCATACAGTCATTGACGTATCTAGAACTTCCTGAAAGCCTAGAGTGAACGTCTTCTCACAAAATCTGTCCCACCTATTGTAAATCTATATAATATAATAATGTAAAAATATAATTTATTCTAACATCACTTCCAAATTATGTTGGAAGTTAATCTGAAGGCCTTCAGTTCAGCTACTGAAGGCCTGACCAATGAGGAAGCAGCTTGGCTGTACCTTCTAAGATACCGCTGAGAAACTAATCCTGACTGGGTAGTTTTCCGTTGGGCCCTTCAAGATCTTTACACTTTTGTAAAGCAAAATGCAACAAGCATAATTATTATATTAAATAAAAATAAACAAACAATTTCAGACGTGTATTTTCTAATTTATAGAAATCATTAAGCCTTTTTCTAAAGGCCTAGAAGGCCCTAACGGTTCCCAGCTGTCTGCAGTTAAATCGCCACCTTCACTGCATTTTCATGTATTTTATACTCCAATTATCTTGGCACTGTGTGTGTTTATGTGTGTGTACATATTTGAGTGACTTAAAAAACTGTTCCTGTCTCTTTTTTCCTGCCCTCCTCCGTGTGTTCTCTGTATTTGTCAGTTTGCGGAAAAGTTTGCAGAATTTAAGGAAGCTGCGCGGTTAGCGAAAGAGAAATCTCAGGAGAAGATGGAGTTGACCAGCACTCCTTCACAGGTAAAACCACAGACACCAGCCACCTTCAGCAGCTCTCAAAAAGATCTTCACTTCTAACTAAGACTGTCTGCTTTTGATTTGAGCTATGTGTTTACTTTGAATGTGCTCTTTTACTTTTAAAACACTTCTAACAACATCATGCAATCCTTCCAAGCGCAAACAGGCTTTGGCTACTTCTAAGGTAAGGATGGCCTTGGGAAAACGTACCGAACGCCTCTTTAATCCCTACAGTAACCCACCTGAAACATTTATACCAGACCCACTACCTCCATCAGCCCACTCAGAACATCCTCCTCCAGTCCTGCTCAGGGTCTCCTCCACACATGATGACCTGCAACATCCACCCAAACCATTTGTACCGAACTAAACCCTCCTTACCTGCTTAACACCAATGAAAGCCCACTCCCATCCCAACCCGGCATTGTTAAATCAAGCTTACTGGTCATCCAGTGTAAAACTTCCCACTGAAAAACATGTCCTGCATCTCACTTGTTTAACTGCCTTTTCAAAATTTAGACCTAAATCAGAGCACAACTCTTAATTAAGTGCTTTTAGAAGGCTCTTAAAAGTGTAAGAGATCACATTAAAGCAGAAATCCACTGATTTTTTTCAGCTTCTGAGATGTAAACAAAGTCATTCAGAGTGGTTTGATGTGAAATGTTTAATTGTAGAGACACTTGGGGATTTCTTTACAGTGGTGGTGATAGAAACCAGGGGTCACAGTGTGTACCAGTGAGCCCACACGTCTTCTGAGATTTAATCTGAGCTTGTATGTATGAGTTTTACAGTGACTCTTTCAATAAAGAGTTCTGACATAGAGCTGCCGCCGCTGTTTTACGTTCCTAACAACTAACCGAAACACTGCTTACACTGCTATAGCTATGACTCTAAGTCATTGACGTATCTAGAACTTCCTGAAGGCCTAGAGTGAACGTCTTCTCACAAATTCTCAATGATGCTATGATGATGATGGTAAAATTGTGGTCTATTTTGCCTCACATGGCCCTTCATGTAGCTCTCTGCCTTGAAAAGATAAAAAAAATCTGGTTTTTTTGGCCAAAACCTTCTCTCAAAACTATCGTAAAACAATGTCTCAGGCATCTGAAATATATTCATAACCATTTTTTTTCTAATAACTTTCTGTGAGGGAGCTTTTAGAGGTATTACACCCTTTAGACGTCTGGTTCCTATCACCACCACTGTGAACAATTCTGACACTGTAAGCTTCTCGAGAATGGAGCATTTTACACCACACAGCAGAAAATGGTATCTTAAATCTAGTCAATATATCTAATATTTCCCATTTTAGGATAATTGTGCACTTATTATAAGATTATCTTATTTCTACACTTTTTTTACTTGTTTTTGATTATTTTATTAAGTGAAATTATCTCACTATACTGGCAGATAACTTTGCTGATTTCAAACATTTCTTAAAAACGAGCAAAATTATCTGTCAATATAGTGAGATAATCATACTTAAAACAAGTAAAAATTGTCTAGTAATAAGGTAGATAATCTTAAATTAAGCTTACAACAATCTCAACAAGACAAATACGAGATTTATTGACTGTATTTGGGATGATTTTACTTGACAAGATACCATTTTTGCAGTGCAAACCACTCTGAATGACTTTATTTGCACCTTAATCACTTAATAATGCAAAAAAAGGGTCCTTTTTAAATATGTCATATGGTATATTATACTCTTTGCTTTTAATATAACTCTAATAATGTCCCCTAATCCGATTTAAGCACAAACAGGACTTGACTATGGCTGCTAAAAAGGTAAGGATGAGCCCACAATAGGCTTAAAGGAGCAACAAGTGGCATTTGCTTCTAAAACAGTATGATTAAAATAGCTAAAGAGTACTGAATGTAGAATATTGTAGATTGTTTATAAGATTATTCAATATTAGTCAAAATGATATTTTGTTTACTCACAACTCACAAAAGGAAATGGGGACAACGGGAAAATGCAGCTTATTGCTCCTTTAACGAATCCTCTCCTCCCAACCTGCATTAAACATGAGCTTTGACCCAAACCCCATCCAAACAACTGAAAGTGTTTGTAGATGATAGATCCTGACCAGCGCCTCCACACAATCAAATCAACCTCAGATCGCTATTATACTAATCCTGTTATCTCCTCTTATCATTTTAATCCTTTTATCTAACTAGTGCGACTCCAATTTATGCACAGTTACTGAACTCTGCCCAAGAAACCAGATGAAGTCTTTGTAATGCACTTTCTGCTGGGCCCAATTTCAGACATTTCCTGCCAAAACTGCCACCCAAAATCTTCTATTTATGTAGTCTCCGTAGTAAACAAAGCAAATTGTGGCCAACAATGTAAAATCTCTGCTGATTTTCCTCTGAAATTTGTTCCAAACAGAAAAGAAAGGAATTCATCAGCATTTTTCAGCCTAATTTCTATCAGCCACATCTGTAGCACATGGTCAGTCACTACAGACAGTGTTTTAAAGTGGTAAAAGAGCTGAAAACCTACTCACTCAAAAAACACTTATAATAGAAGCCACTGGGCAGATGCAGGTGGTGAGGAAGAACTACACTCTTAAAAATGGTTCTTCAAGGGTAATAAAAACCATAACTCCATACTAGTTTTATACTATATACACCGATCAGGCATAACATTCTGACCACCTCCTTGTTTCTACGCTCATTGTCTATTTGATCAGCTCCACTTACTATATAGGTGCACTTTGTAGTTCTACAGTTACAGACTGTAGTCCATCTGTTTCTCTGATACTTTGTTAGCCCCCTTTTACCCTGTTCTTCAGTGGTCCGGACCCCCATGAACCCTCACAGAGCAGGTACTATTTGGGTGGGGGATCATTCTCAGCACTGCAGTAACACTGACGTGGTGGTGGTGTGTTAGTGTGTGTTGCGCTGGTCTGAGTGGATCAGACACAGCAGTGCTGCTGGAGTTTTTAAACACCTCAGTGTCACTGCTGGACTGAGAATAGTCCACCAACCAAAAATATCCAGCCAACAGCGTCCTGTGGGCAGCGTCCTGTGACCACTGATGAAGGACTAGAGGATGACCAAAATTACGATGTCAAGCTTGTAGCAATAAAAGAACCTTTCCATCAATCTTAAGTTTTCACCATGCAAAGAACCACACACTTAAAAATGATTGTTCTTCAAGGGTTCTTTAGTAAAGAAAATGGTTCTAAAAAGAACCATGAACACTCAACGAACCCTTTGCATGATGAAAGGCTTCTTGGCGTCATGAAACGGTTCTTCAGATTGATGGAGAATGTGCTATAGATGGTTCTATGTAGAATATTTTTGAAAAGGGTTCTATGTATCACCCAAAATGGTTCTTCTTCTGTTATAAGCTTGGCATCATAACAATAGAAGAACGCTTTTGAGTGCTATATGGAACAATTTTCAAAAAGGTTCTATATAGAACCATCTTCGGCACATTCTCAAGAACTTTTTCATAATGCAGAAAACCCTTTAATCATGCAATGGGTTCTTTGAGTGTTCATGGTTCTGACTGATGATCGCCTTCCATCAGTTCACCATCACCTCTCATCTCCTTTGCACTCAAACAAAAAGGCAACAGCTTATAAAACTAAAACTGCAGCGTCCAAAATAAGGAATTTGTAGTGTTTTACAAGCTTCAAATGTCTTTAATCTAAACCTAGAGTGTGAAAGTGAAAGTAAACCTTGGCGCTAACATAAAACATATAACACCACTGAAAAAAGACAAATTGTACATTAAACAGTGAAAAGTGAATAAACTGCCATAATATGTTCATAATTACTGTTGAATGCAAACGTTGCAAATTTTGTTGATTTCCTAAGTGACAGGGCACAATCTTAAATATTTATAAAAAACTTTTTGCTAAAATTAGTACACAATCATGTGTTTAACATATTGAGAAAAAATTAAATACAAAAAAATATACATTTTCTGTTTTTCTGTTATTTTATACCAATATATTAAATTCAGGAAAATAAGCAGTAATTGTGCATTAAAACGTGCAGAAGTGTGTTCTCTGTAAAGGATGCGTTCACATATTTTCACTTAGAAAATCAATAAAAACGTCATATGACAAGACGCGCCCAAACATTTGAATCCGACTGTACATGCCTAAAAAGTTTTAAAAATGTAATGAGTGAGTTCCTCAAGCTTTATGTCAGTGTGTTATCAGAGCTCTTATGTACCCGTGCTTATTCTTAACAATACAGGGTGATACAAAAAGATTCATCCGATTTCAAAGCGACATACTTTTACAACCGTGAGGCGCCTAGGAACCAATCACAATCCAATTGAAAGAGGGGGTCATAGGGTTTCTGACTGTGGCTCCCTTCAGCCTGAGAGGAGATGAGACCCCTGAGCAGAAAGCGTTCTGCGTTCTCCACTTCAATAAGAGTGAATCCGTCATAACTGTGCAGCTTGATTTTCATCTGCAGTGAACCTCCAACAGCTCAGAGCGTTCGTCGTTGGTTCCACAACACTGGATGATCTCCGAAATCGCACTGAAAGAGCCGTGAGTGCAGCAACACCCGACATGCTCAATCCAGTATGGGATGAATCTGACTATGGTGTTGATGTTGTCCGCACAGCTGGAGGAGGTTCATACTGAGATCTTGTACAATTACATGATAAACTTTATGCTCCTTTAAACCATTTACAGTTACAGCATTGTTCTGTAATGATTTACAAGAGAAATAAATCATTTTGAAACCAGATGAATCTTTTTGAATCACCCTGTATTACTGCGATATTCAAATATTATTTGTTTAAAAATTGTTACATTCAAATAGCAAAAGTAGTTGCAATGTCAGTTGGCAGTGATAAAACATTGCTGTTTGCATTGGCATTGAAAACTGAGGATACTGTCTCCGAGTGCCCTCTTGAGAGTGCTGTTCGACCGCTTTGCTCGCTTTCCTTTCTCTCCTTGTGCGCCGATTCTCAGCTTTCTCTTCTGACTGACCGCAGATTCTGCTCGGTCAGCCAAAGCAGCGCAGATAAGTGCCAGCTGCAGCCAATGGTGCGGGACACACCAAACTCTGGCCACTGACGCTTCCCGACAGTGATGTGTCTTATACAACAGATGTGGCTGATAGAGATCAGATTGAAAAAATGCTGGAGTGTGGATTTTATTCCATTTTAAAGGGGAACCCCACCATTTTTTAAAATTTCTGCATAACTCAATCATTAAGATCTAAACAAAGTTATTCAGATTGGGTTTGATGTGAAATGCTCCGTTGTAGAGAAACTTAGTGGGTGAGGTTTGTTGACAGTGGTGGTGATAGGAACCAGACGTCCACCTCTAAAAGCTCCCTCACAGAAAGTTAGATGATTACATGAATTACATGAAATGGTTATGCTGCCTGATGCCCGAGACATTGTTTTATGGTAGTTTTGAGAGAAGATATTGACTTAAAATGTATTTTTTAAAACCCATTCATGGCAGAGAGATACATGAAGAGTGTTATAAGACCAAATAGCCCCCCAAAAAAATTGTTGATGTATCACTATTTTCCCATCATCAACATTACATATAAAGCTCAGAAGACTCGTGTTGGTTCACTGGTGGGTTTGGATAGTAAATCAAATGGCTGTATTTGTGCTGTGGTCATGGCGACCCCTGGTTCCCATCACCACCACTATAAAGACATCTGAGTCAGTAAGTTTCTCTGCACTGAACCATTTCACACCAAACAGCTCTGAATGACTTTGTTTACATCTCACTAATTGAATTATGAGTTCAAAATAACATTGTCCACTCCCACTCTAGCGTCCAGGAGACTGAAAGGTGCTGTTAATACATTACGTATCACTGTTACACATACATATGTACCTTCATACAAATTAAAAAAGAAAAAAGCACCCCTCATTAATCGTCATGCATTTTAAGGGCCACCGGATCATTTGTGTTATTAATGCTGAATCATTGCCAGACTGTTTCTGTGGCTGAGCCCTTTGTTCCTCTATTTTCTGATGAATCTGATGAGTGTGGTCAGAACCTCACATAACCCCATGATGCTGTTGATAGCAATTCAATCATATCGTTAATCCCAGTCACTTCAAATCATCAAATGTGCGAGTGAAATGGATTGGGCAGTTTTGCGATGGGCCTCTGTGCAATAAAACTGATTACCTCATTCTTTCTGTTCTGACAGGAATCGGCCACGGGTGACCTTCAGTCACCTCTGACCCCAAAGAGTATCAACGGAACGGATGACGAACGAGTCACAGCCGACGCCTCTCAGAACTCAGAACCGCGAGCGGAACCCAACGCAGTGCCCTTCCCTCACAGGTGACCATCACTGGTGCACTATCAATGTGCAATATATATATATATTTGTACAGTCATATGCAACAAAAGTGCATATTTTAATGCGGAATTACTGCTAATTTGCTGAATTTAACATATTGGGATAAAGTGTGGTCTGTGCAAAAATTCCAGCACATTTTATATTTTATGTTTTACTTTTTTTCAACATGTTAAACTCAAATAAATAGAAACTGTGCTCTAAAATTTGCATAAAAATTCCACATTTCAGTGTATTCCTTATGGAGGATGTGTCAACTTATTTCCACTTAGAAAATCAACAGAACATGTCATCTGACCGGTGACACTTTTTGCATATGACTGTCTGAATAAATAAATAAGAAATTAAAACCTTTGCAAATGACACCATGTGTTGCATAAAGAGAAGAAAATCCATCCTTTACTCACCTTAAGTGGGACCAGGAGTTCGGGGGGCGAACTGTATAAGGATCACAGCCCATTTTATCGACTTTGTCGAGGTGACGTTTTTTCTCTTGCAAAGTAAGGTGAGTAATTTTAGCCATCTTGCACCTCTAGTTATGTTCATGCAGAGCAGCGAAGCCATAAATTCAGTCCGAAATATGGCAGCCACAACAGAAAAATCACGAGACTGAAACCCCAGGATAAAAACGTATAGAGACAAATCAAAAAAATGAGTTGTATTAATTTTTAAAAAATAGAAATCTTCTCTGGATTGTACTTGGACTGAAAAATGTCTTTCCCTCTATGCAGATGACGTCTTACTCCAGTGTAGTAACATTAATCACACTCGCCAAATGACATATGAAAATATTGCTCATTATTAAGTATAGTAAATGTAATGGTGAATGTGATTTGTAGTGTAGGGCAGTATATGTGATGATTCTGCTCTCAGAATGTGATTATTATTATACTGATTCAGAAAAGTGTGTCGTCTCTGCCTCTTTTGTAGCAGCTGCTTGAGAAGCCAGCAGTGCCGTAGCCTCGTAACCTCGCTGATTTAAAATGAAATTGGCACAGTGCAACACAGGCCACTGTGTGTCAATTCATGCCATCATATATTATTTACCTCCTCCCAGCATCCCCTGGACAACACTAAAGCATTAAACTAAAACACTGTGTTAGACAGGCATTAAATATGGATGAAACGTGCTTAGATTCTTTTGCATGAAAGGCACTTAGTACAAGTCAGACGTTTCTGCCATTCATTTTAGTGTGAAGGGTGAAGTTTCACTGAGGAATGTTTACACAAATAGATGCCATTTAAATTAGCGATGCAGGGTGATATCAGAGTTAGTAGATAAAATGATTAAAAAATACACACCGATCAGGCAGAACATCATGACCACCTCCTTGTTTCTACGCTCATTGTCCATTTTATCAGCTCCACTTACTATATAGGTGCACTTTGTAGTTCTACAGTTACAGACTGTAGTCCATCTGTTTCTCTGATACTTTGTTAGCCCCCTTTTACCCTGTTCTTCAGTGGTCTGGACCCCCATGGACCCTCACAGAGCAGGTACTGTTTTGGTGGTGGATCATTCAATCCACCGCACTCATCTGTTTGTCATTTTTTTTTCCATCTCTCGTTTCTCCCATAGAGTCCCATTCATTTTCACCTCCATACAAACTTTATTACTTTGTCACTCAGCCACCAAACTACATGTACTCACTAAGGGTAGGACCTCAAGGTCTACTGCACAGCCATCATGACCTGCACTCCTCTATGTGTCATTTTTTCATCCCTCCTTCCTCACATAGAGTCCCATTCATTTTCAACAACACGTAGTTACCACTTGGCAACTCCCTACGAACAACTAAATAAACACCCCATACACCATGGCAACTGCCTAGCAGCAATTTAGCAACCACATGGGATACTATAGCAACTGCCTAGCAACACCATAGTAACCTCCTGGGATTCCATAGTAACTACCTAGCAACAACCTAGAAGGAAGGGGGAACCATTTAAGCTGCGCAACCGTTCTGCGTTTCCTTCAGGAAATGCAGGTTTCGAGTTATTATTATTATTATTATTATTATTATTAATAGCATTATTACTAGTAGTAGTGAAAGCTGTTGTAATATGAGTATTATAAGAGTATACAAATATTACAACTCTTATTTTATGCATTACATTTTTGTGCTGTAGACAGTCCTTCAGTTGACTTTCTGTCAGACCACAGTGGCTTTTATTTTGTCTTTAATAATTCAAAAATTCTATGGCAGCAACATATGATTGAATTTCCTGCTCTGTCAGTTTCATTTGAGCTGGTTTTATTGGAAGCTTTACAGAAGCATTTATTCCACAGCCTCGCGCACACAGAGCTGTGCGTCATCACTGTGATTGATGTGTAACTTGTTCTTTCAGACCCTGAACACCTCCATCTCATATGAGCTCAGCATGTTACTGTCAGAGTGCTTTTAACATACCATACGCTTTCGCACAGGGATGCAGGAGGTGGGGGTGCAGAGGGGGCTGCAGCACTCCCAGATTATAGGACCACAAGGTCTAAAAATAATAATAATAATAATAAAACTTTCTGAACTTTATCATGCTGAGCACAATAAAGACCCATGTGTGCTCAAGAGAAATTACTCTTTGTTTGACTCTACGCACAAGTCTGAGTGCAGAACAAGGAATTATATCATTTCATATTTGCCAATAAGATGACTAGCTAGCACGATTAGACACGTTTAAGTGGCTATAACGGCTCCAGTTGTCTTTCAAGCAGGTGGAAAATGAACTAGAACTGTAAGTTCCATTAATTACTGTTTGGCTTGGTTCTTCTTCTCTTGGTACATTGGAAAATAACTTGTATGTTTCTATGAAAAACTTTTCTTTACTTTAAAAATTAACCCTAACAGTCCAAACATCCTACCGGCGATACTTTTAGCGTTTTCATTCTTGCCTTCTTTAACTGATAAAAATGTGCCCCCACAGTAGCTGGTGAGTATGCATGACCATGTTAGTGACAGTAAAATGGACAAGCATGTGGAATTGGAGCTTTCGGTGAGCAACCGTGTTTTCTATTACTGTATAAAAGAAGCCTCATGCTGCCTTTCGTGGTGGAAGCGCTGCGATAGTTTCTGAGCGAGTATGTGCACGCATTCACATTGCAAGCCACATCACTACGGAAACACTTATTATTGATAATAAGTGAATTATTATTGATTGGTTTAGTCAGAGTAACAGTAAAAGGACGCTGGAGTGTAAAATATATTCGTATTCGTGTTTTCTTTCTCAAAAAGGTGTACCTATGAATTTTCAGTTTTGTTTCATCACATTTTTTAAAATAAATGCAACAACAACACTGAGAAATCCTGCTATTAACAAAACAGTAAGTGGGAATAGGGCTTTTTGCACGGACTCTAAAGGCTTAAACACTGAATTATTTATTGATATAGAACAAAAATGTTATCATTTGGTGAGGGGTCAGGTTTGGAACTTTGTGGCCAAAATCAGGCTGACTTTGGCTCACAGGCCACACTTTGGGCAGCCTTGTTCTATGGCATCTCTTAAAAAGACTTTGTTGACTTCCTTTTCGATTTTTAAGAGTGCGCGATCGCAGATGGTAAGAAAATTCCCAATCAGCGTTTCGACACCTTACTCATTTCACAGTAGCAGTTTTGTACTGAGGAGGTTTTGCCGGTCAGTCTCACAGTCTCTGTGTTTTGTTCTTCCTCAAACAGCTCGACTACCATCAGTAAGCACTGGGAGGCTGAACTGGCCGCCTTGAAGGGCAACAACGCCAAGCTAACCGCAGCACTGCTGGAGTCTACGGCCAACGTCAAACAGTGGAAGCAGCAGCTGGCCGCTTATCAAGAGGAGGCAGAGAGACTACACAAACGGGTGAGACAGAGTCAAAGTTCATCACTGTTACACCTGCCGTTAATGTGAGTGTGCAGATTATTGGGGCATGTTTTCATCCAGGTGTGATCAAGAACTGTTGTGGGTTTTTTTAATTAGTTAAGCGCTCAGTTAATCTTATTCTCCAGGGTATATTTTGGTTTGTCCATCTGAATTTCCATGCCCAAATCAGAAGGCAAATTATTCAGTAACTGCATGAAATAAATGTCATTTTTTATTTATTTATTTATTTATTTTTTTGTAAAAGCTCCCTTCAAATTAACAGTAAATGTTTTATGATCATACACACATTGCTATATGCTTACAATTTACTGCTGAAAGCCAAAACTCTCAGACGCTCTTTGTATTATTTTATAAAAATAATTTTTACAGAGCAGATCACTGAAGAGGCGTTTATGTTTATAGTTTAAAGCCCAGATTTGTGGAAAAATGGGTCGACTTTCGGTAGACAAAAAAAATAGTGAGTTCAGCTTCTTTTATTATAAGGGTTTAAAATTACATCACCCATCTATGTGACTGGAGAGAAGACAGTTACAGCTCTCATACGACCCCCATCTTTAGAATGTAGCTTATGAAATATGAAAGTTATGAAGAATATGACGAAGTGCGTTTTGGAACCACTGGTGGTCCCAGGGAGTTGAAGAGGTTAATGTTTGATTTCATTTTAAAAGCAGTGTCCCCTAACTGGACAGAAAAGTCATTTATAAACTCAACTGAAATCAACTAAATCAAGTGCCATTGGTTAGATGGGGCACTAGAGCTTGACCTCAGGACGAGGGCAAATTTTTGGCATTGTATTTTCCCTTAACAGCATATTTTTCCAGTTCTGTTTTTTTAACAGTTAAAAAAGTGTTTGAATGCATGGCTCATTATAATCATGATGCAGAGCAAAAATGACCTTTCATAGGTTTCCATGGAGTATAGAATAAAAGCTTTTAGAAACACTAATCTCCCACTAGTTAGGGCCAGGAATCATTACAGACCCAAACCCAACGATATTACCACAATACTTTAGCCATGATACAATTTATTGTGATGTTTAAAGTATTTAGGTATTAATATATTTTACACAACAGTTAGTTCCGGCCACGCAAGCTGATTGGTTGAGAAGCGTTCTAACTGTGCTGTTATTTCGCCATAACATCAGTGGTTTTTCACAAACCCTGTATCACTCCGCTGAGACGCCGTTGCTAAGCAACGACTCTGACAGCTGTAGGAGATGCTCGAGCCATTTGAACGTTTTTACTTCTTACTTTGCCACAAACAGAAAACTGACACTTTTAAGATCACATTTGACCGACAGCCGATTTGGTCAGACTCTGAAGATGAGACCACAGTAAATTCCCAAACTGGCATCACCACTGAGCAGCTTTTCAGTCGGCAGCTGTGACAGAAGAACAGCTGAACAACCTGGAATCAGTCAGAAATGAACCCAACACATTCACCAAACGTGTAGTCTGATCTTCAGAGTCTGACCAAATCAGACTGAGCCATAAAACTGCCACAATATCAAGTTCAGCTCAGTTTTGTCAGTTTTTCCCAGATCAGTATTAATGTTGTTTTGTTCCAGCCAGTCTGTAAAGCATCTTACAGCCCATTTAGTTTGGCGAATGGTGTTGGGTTCATTTCTGGCTGATTCCAGGTTGTTTAGGTTCTTCTGTCACAGCTGCCGACTGAAAAGCTGCTCAGTGGTGATGACAGTTTGGGAATTTAGTGTGAGGAGCTGGAGAACGAACTGCAGACTAAACAGCGAGTGGGCGGAGCTCGTTACTCTGACGTAGCAACAAGCTGCTTGTTAAACACCAACACAAGACAGTAAAGTTGACATATCACTATTAAAGATGTAGGGATAAAACCTGTTTTGATATTAATATTCTAAACAGGTTTCATCTTTACATTGGCAGGTGAATGTAACTGTAGACGTCTCGCCCATCGACCCCTACTAGGATGTAACAGTGGAGTTTCTGGTTCCTGTGTGTGGAATTAAATGCTCTTAACCAGCCTCTATTGTTAATACCAAAATATCATGGTATTGTTCTGTATTGATTTTTTTTCTCCCACCCCTGCTGCTTATGTAGCAACACAATAGCTTATAAAAGGATCTGATAAGCAGAGAACATGCAGTCTTAAAGGGCTCATATCACAGAAAACCGTATTGCCCTCACTTTTCTTTCAATAATATTTTTAGTAATATTAACTTTTTAAAGCTTTGTTAAAGTTTCAAAATGTACCATTTCACTCCATACGGTCCACATATGGAAACTAAGCTGCGAGAACAGCTTATTTTAAATTCATTGTTCCTGTGATGTCACAAAAACCAACTCATTTACATGTATCCACCTATTCGGTCTAAAGCAGTTTAGCTCCGCCCACTTAGTGAAGTTCTGAGGAGATTATCAGCTCTAAGGGCTTTTTAATTGAGGCACAGGGCAGCCAATCAGAACAGAGCTCATTAATTTTTCCATCAGTCTTAAAGGCACAGCAACAAAAACAGCCTGTTTAATTCTAGGGGATAAAGAGAGGATGAAAAGTGGTCATGAAAAAATGGGTTATGACTGTTTTTGGTACATAAACCCACACAAATGTTAAGGATAAGGGTCCTTTAAAATTGGCCAGGGACTATTTTCCTGCTCTGCCCTTGTTTGAATGTTGTGGGTAGTGATGCGTTTCTGAACGTCATCACTTTCCACTTTCCTCCGCCTGAGAGGAACACAGGTAACTGAAGCTAGTATGGCCAGGATACTAGCTGTCGGGTCAACAGATAAATAACAATCATTACATGTTAAAATGCTCACACAGTAATCTGGGGATATGATGGTTTTGCGCTCAAAGGGAAATTCCACCGATTTTTCAAAATTCCTGTACAATTCATTGTTTGAGATATACATCAGGTCAATCAGATTGTTTTTATGTAACTTTCATGATAGTAAAATAATGATCAATCTGAAAAAGTAAGCTTTCTTTGGGGACTATTTTGCCTTATACACCCTCATGTATCCCCCCACCATGAATGGATTAAAATAAATTGATCAAAATACGTTTTGGCCCAAAACGTCATCACAAAAACTATGATAAACCAGTGTCTCAGACAGGCAGTGTATTCATAACCATTTCGTGTAATACTTTTCTGGGAGGGCTTTTAAAGGCATTAAACTCCTCAGACATCTGGTTACTATCACCACCACTGTGAACAGTTCTGACTCTAGAACAGAGTGTTTCATGCTGAACCACCCTGAATGATTTTGTTGACATGTCAACCATTTAATTATGCAGAAATTTTGAAATATTGGTGGAGTTCCCCTTTAAGACCATTTTGAATGCAAAACTGGTTATAGAGTGTTTTTGGAAGCCTATGTAAGACTCAATCAACCAAAACTGCAACGTGGGGAAAAGGTTCTGAGGAAGAATGCTAGACTACTACTTTAATCCTGCCTCGGGTGGTGGTTGTTGTGCTTGTGTGTTGCAGGTGACAGAGTTAGAGTGCGTGAGTGGGCAGACAACAGGCATCAAAACCCAGAAAACGGAACTGAACCAGACGATAGAGGAGCTGGAGGCAGCGCTCAAGGCCAAGGAGGAGGTGCAGTGGCTTCTGTTCTTTCTTTGAAACTCAGCCAGAAAGTGCATTTTGAAGGGGTGTCCAAATGTATCCAGACAGCATTTCTGATGAGCGAATTCAGCTACTTTAATATGTATGATCTCCATTGACCAGTAGAATGGGGAGCTTGGGGCATTCAAACATGAGCCTAAGGTCAACATGCCCAGTGCCAATCATGGGCTAGAAGGGTATAAAGCCCCCAGCATTGGGCTGTGGAGCAGTAGAACTGGGTTCTTTGGAGTGATGAAACTCCATCCAGCTCCTTTGGGATGAGTTGGAATGATCCATGATCATCCAACATCAGTACCTGACCTCACTAATGCTCAATCAAATCCTCACAGCAATGTTCAGCATCTAGTGTGAAGGCTTCCCAGAACAGTAGAGGCTGTTACTGCAGCAAAGAGGGACAAACTCACTATTAATACCCTTAATTTCAGAAGAAGCACTGGAGGAGCACGTGTCCACAAACTTTTGGACATATATAATATATATGGCTTCGGAAGCTTGATGGCTTTATCTAACTAGTGCAGTATACGCTAATTTCAGAGCGTAGGCCTGTCCATGGTTACAGTTTACCAAGTTACCAGGGTAACAACCCCCAAAACCTCCAAAACACATGATCATAACTGAAATTTTACACACTGGGTGCTGTGATGTCCTGCATTAATAGCACATTTTTTGTACCTAACATAGATAACATCTATTTCTAAACACATACAGTAAGAGTATATAGCACCTAAACTGTATGCTCTCATTTTTACAGGAGCTGGAGCAACTAAAAGCGGAGGTCGAAAATGCCCACCAGCTGCAGTCACAGAAAGATGCAGTCACGCAGAAGCTGCAGGTAAACAAACATATTATGCATACTTGAGATGTAAGGGACTTTCCCTACCTGCATTCATCTGTGGTTCTGAGAGGAAAACAAGCACCTAGTTAATGTAAAACAATACAAACTGAACGTCAGACAGTTTATACAAATACTGGCGTAGGATTAATTTTCCATTATTGTAAAATTTCAATTAAGAAAGCATGTCTTAGCTTCGCCAACCAAAGAGCACCTAGTTTTTCACCGAAGCCTCAGTGAAAATGCTACATATTAATGGTGCATCTCAAACATCATCTGGTGTTTCATGGTAGTCATACTCACTTGATCCTGTCTACAGTCTACAGTTATTCCCTTTCAACCTGATACCACCAGACTTACAGCTTAGTCTCAAAATAGCAAACAAAAAACAATTTCAGCCAATACTTTATTTCAAAACTATTGTAAAACAACATGCAACATGTTTGAAACCATTTAATTTAATAACTATCTGTGAGGGAGTTTTTATAGTCATTAAACCTTTCAGACGTTTGGTTCCCATCACGACAATTCTGACTCTACAAGCTACAATAACTAACACTAGTCTGAAACATCAGCAGAATAGCTTTACTAGAATGTATTATACCAATATTATAACTGTCTATTAAACAGTTATAATATTGACATTTTCATTTAAGGAAGCATGCCAGTTTTTTCCAGCCTTCAGTGAAATAACGGCTGGTTTTTCACTGAATGAAAGGCTGAATGAAAAGCAGGGCTGAACAATTTGGGGAAAATCTTATTTTGGTTTTTCTGACCAATATTGTGATTTAAAATATGATTATTTTTTCTATAAATTAAAGCCTAGGCCTGTTTTTTGGGCCAAGACCAGCACATCCACTTTTTCTGGCTCGAGGCTTGAAGGCTGAAAATAGTGTGCCAGAATGCCAGCTGTGCTCGTGCTGTCATGTACGCAGCTCATGGGTGTTTGGTTGCTTTTGACTGGTCTGACTCGTCTAGCAGTTCACATGCTCTGTGTTATTGGGCTGCATTTCCCCACATAACACAGCCGATAATGTTGGCTATAATTACAGTTGGAACTGTGATTTGAAAAATGAAGTCATTCATTTTTATGGAGTTTCTTTACAGCCAAACTGATGGCTGATTTTTTTTGGCTGCTGTTGATTATTATTATCATTATTCTTAAACCCGAAGCTCTCACTGTGTGGTGTAAATGAACACATGAAACGTGCTAGCATATTTTCAGTACTTTCTGTCAGCCAAAGTCACAATATAAAACACATTATTGGCTATTTAAACATTTTAAATCCATACATGAACAAAATATGTTTCCTATTTTCATGAGTCCAATAAAGTGCTTAATTCAAAGTAAGGGGCGACTGGCTCTTCAGCACTGTGAGTGTGATTACACTACAACAGGTGTAGCAGAAGCAATCGAATACAGCACAAGTGCACTTACCTGTCGAATGTTATTTGCCTCATAAAACTGCAACGCAGATAGGCCAAAATCAAAGTGAGAAATAGGGTGATTGCTGATCGAGTGTTGGGAGCAAATATCAGCCAATTCCGATCGTGCAACCCTACTATTATTATTATTATTAATAATATGCTTATTATTATTGTTCATTTCCTTCCATTTGCAAGTGAATTCCTCTGATGTTTCAAAACCTCTGCATAATTAAATGCGTGAAATACAAGGATTGATATGAAGTAATTAATTGTAGGAAACTTACAGATGTCTTTACAGTGGTGGTGATGGGAACCAGGGGTCACAATGTCTACAACACAAATATAGCCATTTTATTCACTATCCAAAACCACCAGTGAACCTACACGAGTCCTCTGGGTTTCACGTGGAATGTTGATGATGGTAAAATAGTGGAAAATCAGAAAAATATGTTTTCTTTGGGGACTATTTTGCTTTACAGCACCCTCCGCCATGAATGGGTTTAAATAAAATAGGTTTTACACCAAAACCTTATTTCAGAATTATCATTAAAAAGTGCATTCATAACCATTTTATGTAACAACTTCCTGTGAGGGAGCTGAGACCACTCTGAATGTCTATTTTACATCAACAACAATTGAACTATGCAGACATTTTGAAAATTTGGTGGAATTCCCCTTTTACATTTTTCCTATATTTTAAAGTGGCACTGGTTTGAGTAATAATAAAAATATTGATTGTACCACGTTTAAACACAATTGTAACTGCATGCGTCTTTCAAAGGAAACGGAGACGCGGAACGCAGAGCTGGAAGCCCAGCTGGCTGAGCTGGAGCAGCGTCTGGAGAGCAATCAGGTGGAGCAGGAGTCCTTCCGGAAGAGTCTGCGCTCGCTGCTTGAGCTGCTGGACGGAAAGATCTTTGAGCTGACTGAGCTTCGAGACAGCCTGGCCAAACTGATCGAGGGTGGGGGCAGCTAGAGCCTACAGCACTGCAGCACCCTCCGGTGGAGAAACACTAACCTTGAATAAACACACACACACACACACACACACACACACACACACGCCAGCACAGTGTACAGGGGCACGAAACACACGTTGATTTACACATGCATGCAAACGGACGGACGGTCACTCCTGCAGTGCAGAGACAGCTGCTTTTGGCCGTGGGTTAAAAGTGTACACACACTCTTTAACACGAACACATGTTCACAGGTGCACTTTCACAAACAGGTGCCTGCACATATACAGAGGGGTTTACAGACAAAGACAACTACGCTACATAATATTGGCCTAACTGCCTTTTTTCATCTCTTTACAGTTGTACCCACATACAGTGCTGTGCAGAAGTTAGAGACCACCTGTCGTTTAATTTACAGTTAAACGTTTTCATTTTTCAGGAGATACTTCCAAGATTAGATGTAAGATAATCCACTTGCATAAAAGGGAGAAAGTTAAGACAAGTGAAAAACAAAGGAGTTTCCAAAACAAGAGTTTTAAAAAAAATGATTAAAAGCTACAGAGAAAATGGGGCTCCTAACAACCACCTGGAAGACCTAGTAGACACCAAAACTGCCCCCATCAGATAAACAGCACTTAAAGCTTTCATCTCTGAGAGAGAGGAGAAAATCAAGCTGCTTCAGATCTGAAAACATCCACAGGTGTTTCTGTCCATCCTTCCACTGTGAGAAGACGACTCAGCGCTGTGGGTCTGAAAGGATGTGTAGCTGTTCAAGAAGAACCTCACTGAGAAAAGGAGACGGACACATCAAACAAAGAAGCTGAACAATGGACTGACCACCCCAGAGTCCAGACCTCAACACCACTGAATGTGTTTGATTACTTCAGAAAATGATCAACCAGCTTCTAAGACTGAACTTTGGAGGTGTGTCTGCAGATTCTTTGAGAAACTGAAAGAGAGTCTCCTGAAAAGAATGGAAGCTGTAATAAAAGCAAAGAGCAGATACACTAAAACACCCCGTTACTAACAGTCGATGTTATATTTTGTTGTTGAGGCTTGTGTGTAATTTTCTGTTAAAGAAGCTGAACGATGGACTGACCACCCCAGAGTCCAGACCTCAACACCACTGAATGATTCAGTGTTTCACTCAGATCGCGACAAGCAAAATATGCTAAATCGACTTCTAAGACTGAACTTTGGAGGTGTGGAAAAATATCCCTGCCGATTTCTTTAAAAACGTGAAGGATTTATTTAACATTTTAGTAACTTATATTTAGAAAATGATTATATTTAGTTGTTGATACTCCTTCAATTCTCCTAAATAACTTCTGCACAGTACTGTACATACAAAAATCTTGATGTTATGGTCTGTGGAGTATTTCACATGGAAAGAACTGTCATAGTGTACTATTCTTCCATTTCAGGCGAGTATAAGACAAAAAAGGAAAAAAAAAATGCTTTTGTTGCATTTCATGGACAGTTTCAGCATCCCAGCGAACACAGACTTTGCTGAATATTTACGTACGAATTTCCTGCTCAATCAGGTTTAAAAGTCTATATAAAGATGTATATTATTGTTGCCCTTGAAGCCAGTTTGGTCGTGGTTACAGCTTTTAGGGTGTAGGCGGAGGGGAAACCTCTCAAAGCCGTCTTTGGAGTTCAGGCCGACGACAACTGGATCGTTTCTGGGGGGACGCTTTTGGACGCTGACAGTGGATCCTGTTCTCTCTTCCCAGCCACAACCTAAACACACACACTGATCTTTGACTCAGTGTCTTTTTCTATGAAGCTGCCATCCCTTGCAAGAAACTTTATTTTTGAGGGTAATTATTTCAGGTCCCCGCTTTGTCACCTCGAGGACCTGCAAAGTGGGGACATTGTGTTTATGTGGATGCCACACAAATGCGGAAACCATCCTTCCACTATCTGAGCAATACAAGAAGAAAATATATATATATGGAGGGGCTGAGGGAAGAAAAACAAGCATCTCACTATCAGGTATTTTACTTCCCTCTTCATTGAAAGAGAAATACGCGAATACATAAACACGAAAACACTTAACACACATGCTGCGGTGGACAGTTTGAGTTTGCAGTGACTGAAGCAGCCCTTATTTCTACACATTTTTCTAATATATAAATATTACAGATTTATAGTGCACTTGTGAAAATGAAACATGAGGTTTGAGTGAGTTTTAAGATGTTTTGTTGTTTTTTTCTTCTTTTTGAGGTGCAATGATTGACTTGACACTATGATTTCTGGTTATTTATTGTAAAAAAAAATATATTCTATTCACAGATGTTGCATTATACTTTTTTTTTTTTGATTTATTATTTTCGTTGACCTCAGAACAATTTTGCTTTTTTTTATTGTGTGTGGTAAAATGATATTATGGCTGTTTTTTTATGTGGAAAAAAAAACTGGCAATATTTTTAAACTATTTAACTATTTAAAAGGGAAAAGGTAACATGGTCACTTGTTCAAAGCAGAGAGACTTTTGTTTTGTTTTCCTTTGCCAAATATGTTTTCCTGTACAGATGAACTTGCTCAAGTTGCCTTTGGTACAAAAATGCATCAACGGTAGCTAAGGTACTTTTGTGGGGTTTACTATTGCCAAAAATCTGTGATGACGTATAATGACAGATAAATTTACAGTACATGTATACCTGAAGAACACTCTTAAAGGGCTTGTTGTTGGTTCTAGTACTTTACGGGAGGCTTCAATGGGTACATGGGTTGGTTTTATCACGTTAAAACTATGAGCCGTTATACTATACTTTGGAAGGGGGATTGGTTTGAGTAATAATTTTAAATGTTGATTATACCACATGCTTAAACACAATTGTAATTGAGTAATTTATAGTAAAATAAAATAAAAAAAAAAACTACTTGTCTATTATTTAGAAATTAACACTGCAAGAAAGGGAAGCGTGTGCTTCATAGAAGCTGTCCTCCAGCTCTGTCTTGACGTTGAGTATACAGGTCCTCATGCTGAAATATGTTCCCTAATTACTTCGCATAATAATATAAATTAGAAATAACATCCAGATTTTGTACATACAGTCGTATGCAAAAGCCTGTGCACCCTGGTCCAATTATGGTCAAGGTTTTGTTGATGTTCTAAGTGAAAAGCTGACACAGCCTCTACAGAGAACACACTTCTGCACATTACAATGCTTAAGTACTGTCATTAACACACTGAGCAGGGGATTGGGTCTGTGCAAAAGTCTCCGCACCATTCAAAGAGGGCATGACGTTTCAGACAGTGAAAATGATCATCAAAATGATCCACAGAGTCAGAGGCAGTACAGCAACCAAGACCCCAACGTGTTATGGCAGCCCCCCAACAGTCAGCCCACTTTATCCTCCAAATATTACGACTTTTTTTCTCGAAATATTATGACTTTATTTTCGAAGTCTACTATTTTTATTTTATTAACAATGGCCCTAAAACACCGTCATACATATTTAAGTTTGTTCTCTGTAGAGGATATGTAATTTATTTTCACATAGAAAATCAACAACACATGTTTAAACTTTTGCATATGACTGTGTATTGCAAAAAGGCCTAATTTCACACAAATCAGTTTTTGCTGTGATTTACTACCCAGTATCAGTATCTTAATTTTGCCCTGATTAAGCTGCAATTTAGTGACATTAACTTAAATGTCTGACACACAATTGATCAGCCTGCAGAGTCTTGACTTTCAGAGGAAATGGAAATGTATAAATGCATATCAGTGTAGCTAGGTAAACTTCACATTTTCTAGACGTAGCAAAAGAAAAGCCCTAAAACAGAACCTTGTGGAACTCCAAAAGAAAAACTAATAGACACATGATTTCCCAAGGTAACAACTTTCCACCCCAGCTTCTGCAACACTGGATGATGCTTGATCCAAAATCTCAGGCATTTTCTTTCGTCATTACATTACATGTATGTAACCACTTACACAAGATAGTGTAATAATAGGTGAAAATGTACTCTGCACAGTCTTGAACCAAACTGCCATTTAAAACCTGTTACATATGTGAAAAGTAGGCATAAGCCTTGTAGTGAAGCTACTTGAAAGATCAGCTGTTTTGCAATATATATATATATATATATATATATATATATATATATATATATATATATATATATATATATATAAACAAACTGTTCTGCACAGGGTTTTGTAGTAAATCACATTTCAGTTAAAAGCTCAGCAAACTCAGCCTAAACTCGGACACAAGAAGACACCAAGCGAATTTAATACTTGTCTTTTATTTATTTAAAGGGGAAAATGCACTTTGAAATTACCAAACAATTATTAGGAATACAATGGTTGGAAAAGCAGAGTAAATGCAAAAAAGAAAAAAAAAGGAAAAAAAACAAATCAATCATTTTACCTTTATGGTATTGCTATACATTTTTTAAATATTAAGTTTTACTCAATAAATACATGTACTTTAATCAATCATGCAACTAATGTCAGGTTTCCTCCGTTTCATTACATTATTACATTATAATACACATGAAAAATATGAATTTTTCAGTTTCTATTATAATATTGCACATTTCTAGTGACTGGCTAGTTCGGATCCGTGCCAGTCACATATACATAATTCAATGTTTTAGTTCCTAAAGGTTGAGGGTGGCAGGTTGGAATTGTAGTGTTGGTTGCAATACAAGTGAAGAAGAAATATAACGGGGGGCGCAAATTAAAAAGACACAAGATAGCAATGCATAGAATGTATACTATGAATAACATGATTAAAAGAAGTGGAAAATGTATTATTATTATTATTAAATCATAAAAAAAATGCTAAATACAGTACAAATGATGGAAACTTGTTTTAAATAAAAGTGCAGCCCAGAGAGTGTTGGGTGACCCCCTCACTCCCCCCCAGCTACAATGTCATCTAAAAGAATACACAGCCCCCTGGTGAGGTGACCCAAGGTCAGCCTTCAGATCAATACTACTCTTACCTAGAACGGGCTGAAAGGCATCGGCTGACCTCAGATCGACTCTTCGAGGAATATTCCTTCAACAGCAGACAGTACAGATGTTACACATGTGCTGCGCTGCACAGTGGGTAAACTAGATTACACATGAAGCTGTGCATCGTGGTCCTATTTGTAAAGCAGAACTTAATACTAACCTCTCCGAGCGCTCGATTGGCGGTTAAATGGACAACGAACTGTGCAAGGTCAGCGTGGAACAGTGTGGTAGCTAGCTAATCGCTAGTGACATACAGTATGAGGCATCTTAAGTGAGTTGTACCACATTTCACATTAACAAAATAATGGGAGCACCACGAGACGCCGCTGGATAAGATCGCAGTCTTTCACTGTGCTATACTTTAGCAACTTGCATTCACCGCTGAACAGCTGAAGAGGCGCGGATGGAACTTTACAACATGAAGTCAAACAGAGAGCGAAGTGTTTCATATTGACCTCTAATATTCAAGTGCACTGTAAAGGGGGATTCCACTGATTTTTGTCTAAATTTTGACATAATTAGATGGCCAGAATGTAACGTCAGAGTGGTCCATTCTAAAGACTGAATTCTTTACAGTGGTGGTGATAGGAACCAGACGTCTGAAGAGTCTAACGCCTCTAAAAGCTCCCACACATAAAGTTACTACAAGAAATGGTTACAAATACACTGCCTGATGCCTGAGACATTGCTCTTCGATAATTTTGAGATGATTTTGGCCTAAAATGCATTTTAGGCCAAAAAAATTCTTCACAGTGGTGGTGATGGGAACCAGACGTCTGAAGAGTTTAACTCCTCTAAAAGCTCCCTCAAAGAAAGTTACTACATGAAATGGTTATAAATACACTGCCCGAAAAAAAAATCAAGCCGATATGTACTGTCCTCGCTCAAGTGTACAACTACTAAATGTTAAAACATGACTGGGGTGGGGTTCAGTGAGAAAAGCAGCGGCCCTAAAACGGAACCTTGTAGAACTCCAGAAGAAAAACCCAGTATCAGTATCTCAATTTTGTCCTGATTAAGCTGCAATTTAGTGACATTAACTTAAATGTCTGACACACAATTGATCAGCCTGCAGAGTCTTGACTTTCAGAGGAAATGGAAATGTATAAATGCATATCAGTGTAGCTAGGCAAACTTCACATTTTCTAGACGTAGCAAAAGAAAAGCAGCAGCCCTAAAACAGAACCTTGTAGAAGTCCAGAAGAAAAACTAATAGATAGATAATTTCGCAAGGTAACAACTTTCCACCCTGGCTTCTGCAACACTGGATGATGCTTGATCCAAAATTTCAGGCCTTTTCTTTTTTGGCTAAGGATAATGCTAATGACAGTTTATTCCCTTTAGACAGCAACACAGATGGTAAGGTGAAAGAAATAACAGCTAAATTAAATGTCTTTGAATATTTTCTACTGTTTTCTGGAGTAAAGGCGGTGCGTAAATCAAGTGGCCACTCCTATCTCTGTCATTTATACCAATAGTTCTTATCCTGTGCGAATCGTTACAGACATTCGGTGGTAAACTGATGTTACCCTGGAGAACTAAACCTGCCTGAATAGTACTAAAGAGAACTTATTTTTTCAGATTTTACCAAGACCAAAACTCAGAGGACATGTAGGTTCACTGGGGGTTTTAGATGATAAATAACGTTTTTGTTGTAGGCATTGTGACCCCTGGTTCCTATCACCACCACTGTAAAGAAATCAGAGTCTCTACAATGAACCATTTCATACCAAACCACTCTGAATGACTTTGCTTACAACTCAACTACTGAATTATGCAGCCTTTTTTAATTGGTGGAATTCCACTTTAACACAAACCAAAAGGTCTACAGAGGCTTGTCCTTACATAAGAGTAACTAGTGGAAGTCATGTATTGATTAAATCAACAGCTCTGGGATTTTACGTCAGCTCTCCCAGAGGCTAAACGATAGAACTTAGATGGAATATTATTGGTCCAAACATCAGATCAGAAGTGGACCAGCTGTAAACCTGCAAGAAAACTAGCTCTGAATGTGTTGTGCTTCAGATTTACAGGCTGTAGTTAAACTTACAATAAAGAAATCAGACAAAATCTTGGTGAAATATTCCAAACACACATCAAACAGATCAGATAAAACTGTAAAAAGGCTGGAGAAAAAACGAACACATCAAGCTAAATGAAAAGAATATATATATATATATATATAACCCAGATAAGTCAAGAAACAGTTAAAAATTAAGCTTGAAAAAATCTCAGAAACAAAAAAAACTGAATGACAATGCGGCACTCGTGAATGGTGTAAGTAAAAGACGTTGACTGTAGGTGGCACCAGTGCATCACTACAAATGAAACAAAGGGCACTTGGCCCTTTTTCTCAAACCATAACCAGTGAGCTACATGCTGGAGAAAATGTCAGTAAACAACACAGAAAACAAAAACAAAAGCCCTCCATTGACAGCTGTAGTATCTTCCCTTGAATCTGCATCACAACCAGAAAAAGGGAGCGCAGCTGGGGAACGCAACGACGTCCAAAATGGAACAGAGAAAAAAAACCCTTAAACACAGGTTTCAGAGAGGCTGCGGATTCTGAAGCACGGGTTACCATGGACGTTGGGAATTTTAATCATGAAGTATAATATCATCTGTCTGTTACTGACCTTACAAAAAGCATCCATAAAGGCTTTGATAAGTCGCATGTTCAAGACCAAAACAGCTGATTGTTGTGCTGAATTTTAAATGTGAATGTTACTGAAACTTTGTCAGTTCGGAATCGGTCATTTGTTAGGTGGATGAGGAAAAGCACGTCTCCTAACACCATAAAACATCATGGAATGGACGTTTAAGAACAATGAAAACAAAAACATTTCATAACCAGTGGCAGGACTGATATTAAACCACTCTGAGCCAGCGAGAGAGAGAGAGAGAGAGAGAGAGAGAGAGAGAGAGAGAGAAAGAGAGAAAGAAAGAGAGAGAGAGAGAGAGAGAGAGAGAGAGAGAGAGAGGGGTACACATGAAGGAATTTTGTTGAATCTCGATGCCCAGCCACTGTGTGGTCAGTGTTCTGAGCAAGTCGGGGAGTTTTGTAAAGAACTCAAACACATCTGGAGCTTCACGTTGAGGTAAAGACACACCTGATATTCTACGTAAACAGCTTCAAAACAATGTATTGAATAATTATTTCCTTCACAAAACAAATGCCCTTCAAGCTGAAACAGTGAGTGGATTCGTGGGAAATGATTACTAGGTCCTTTGAATAACATTGCATTTACATTACAGCAAAGTAAAGTGCTTAGCTTGCCCACTATTGGCCTCACTGTCGCTAAAATGCAGGCCAGCTGATCCGTCCAAGCAGAGCTCTACGCTAACTCTGTGCTCCAAAAAAATGCAGATGAGAAAAGGCCAAATATCCATTTCAAAAATGTGACTTCAGCATTTAGTTTGAATGTGGATGTGGCATAACACACCGTGGCACATCTGAACAATCTGATTGGCTGCTGCCCACCGAAGATGACTTATCATTTGAATAAAGTTGAGAAAGGCTGAAATTTTTATCGCTCCCTCTGCAAGCTTTTCACCACGCTTCCACGATCCTCCGTGCAAAACTTTGGTACTTCCACACCTTTAGAGGGCGACGGTGAGCAATGTTTGCATATTTGATGTTTGTTAAAAACAGCTTTAGAGGGTGACAGTGAGTGTTTGTTTCCTTGATGTTTGTTAACACCTCTAGAGGGCGACTGTGAGTAGTGTTTGTTTACCTTGATGCTTGTTAATAACACCTCTAGAGGGCAACAGTGAATAATGTTTGTTTACCTTGATGCTTGTTAATAACACCTCTAGAGGGCGACAGTGAATAATGTTTGTTTACCTTGATGCTTGTTAATAACACCTCTAGAGGGCGACAGTGAATAATGTTTGTTTACCTTGATGCTTGTTAATAACACCTCTAGAGGGCGACAGTGAATAATGTTTGTTTACCTTGATGCTTGTTAATAACACCTCTAGAGGGCGACAGTGAATAATGTTTGTTTACCTTGATGCTTGTTAATAACACCTCTAAAGGGCGACAGTGAATAATGTTTGTTTACCTTGATGCTTGTTAATAACACCTCTAGAGGGCGACGGTGAATAATGTTTTTTTTACCTTGATGTTTGTTAATAACACCTCTAGATGGCGATGATGAATAATGTTTGTTTACTTGATGCTTGTTAATAACACCTCTAGAGGGCGATGGTGAGTAACGTTAGTTTACTCAATGTTTATTAATAACACCTTTAGAGGGCGGCAGCGTGTAATGTTTATTTTTTTTTGCTGTTAACACTTTAGAGGGCAGCGTTAATTAATTAGTTAATTGCAATTATTTATATGGCAATAATATGTGAGCTAAAATGTGAGCTAAAATTTCATCATCGTGACGGGAAACAAAAATGGTCTTGCTTCGCTGTAATGTAAACGCAGGCTAAGTCGAGATTAAAACTACGCAGGGTTTTAAGGTCTGTTTGTGAACTGGTTATCGTACATGTGTGCTTGGTGAGGGTATACATGAATACATATTCTGTGTGCAGATGTTCATGAAAGAGTGACCTAGCTCTCCCAGTCTGTGCAGGGCAGCCCCTCGTCCTCAGACTCGGATTCGGGGGACGCTTCTTTGATGCGACGCAGGGCTTCGTGGATGCTCCGAGTCAGTGGGTCGCTGGAGTCCGACAGCATTCCCTTCGCTCCTCGGTGCTCCTGTCGCCGCACTTTCCTCAGCTTCACACCCTTCCTGATCTGAGCCAGGATGTTGTTCCCGTCATCCTCGTCTGGATCAGGTGCGAGGACACGCAGCTCAGCCTTACGCAGGTGGAAGCTTCCTCGCTTCAGGCTGGCCAGAACCTCGTCCATGGGAGAGCTCGCTACGGAGAGAGGAATGAAAATGGAAAAGGATAATTCGCTCTTTTGAATACATCAAGATTAAAGCCATGTGTTTTATGACTCCATTTGGGAGTATTAAGAGGTTAAATCAGTAGCTGCCAACTGCCATGCCTGCTTTTAGTGTAGTTAAATGAGTACTGTACAACAGGAAAGGCCACTTAAAAACACAGAGACTCATGTTTACTGTAAGAGTGCAATGGTTTACAACTGTTAAATAAAAGTATTACAGTATTGACAGTCTACTGATCACCGATATCTCATTTACCTTCTTTTGTGGAAACCTCTATCATTGGTCAAAACGAGCCATCTGGGTGCAGCTTACCAGAGTAAAGTGTGCAGACAGGGGGTGGGGCTAATTTTTTTGCATGCAAACACACTGGGACCTGGCTGTCCGTACAGCAGAGTCTCTCGCTGTCTTCAAACGCAGACTGAAGACCGTCTCTTTATACAGCACTTAAATGAGCACTGAATTAAGTATTGATTGTAATGTATTGTACTGCACTTATGTGTTGTATTGTATTGCACTGCTCTGTGCTCAACTCTGTTCCTTTTTCTCTGGGTATCAACAGTGACTTTTTGTTTCTAGCAGTATCTGAGCTCAGGACTGGCTTTCTCTCTAACCTATTGGTAACTAGCAAAGATACTTTCTCTAGATAGACAAAGCACTTCTTGTAAGTCGCCAAAAAAGTGTGTTGTGATACAGACTTACCTTTATATGATAGTCAATTTACAGCTTAACACCTAAACTACAGCAAACTGGGAACTAAGGACTGTCTTACACAGAGCAGCATGTCCTCTGAATCTCCTAAAGTACGTCCCCCTTCCTCACCTCTCCTCCACTGGGACGACTCCAGCGATGCAGTCTTCCTCAGTTTTTTCCGGGCGTTCACCAACTGGCTGCTGTCAAAGAAGCGGGCGGAGAAAGGGCCAAGAGGGCTCTCTGCTTTGGGTTGGCGCACTGGGCTACCTGCCTGCCCCTGGCCCTCTGTGGGTATGTCCTCCAGTGATGGAGGTGGTGGTGGGGGAGGTGGGGGTGGAGGAGGAGGCGGGGGAGAGATGGGAGAAGTGGAAGAGTCCAGCAATGTCAGCTCTCGAGCTGGGGGTAGGGAGGACGGTCCCAAGGTCTCCGGAACGGAGGCGACCACTGGCGGCAAAGACAAGAAGCCTTCAGGCCTCCGGAGCTCGGGGACGGCTATGGAATGTTCTAGAGGAGCTGGGGCGTCTTCTGTCTGCACGCTGGCCACCTGTGTCTGGGGCTGGTCCACTTTCACAGTGGTGGGTGGTTGGGCGGAACCATTTTTCTTCCTAGCGAATGCTAGCCGGAGTCGCGTGGACTTCAGGGTGACTTGGCCTGGGTAGCGCTACATTGAGGAGAAAATTAGACAAAAGAAATGGTCAAAATCTCATAGGATGTGCACATATAACTGCTCCTCTGTATAGTTCAGAAAATGTGTTAACATTTTTGAATTGCTTGGCTTTTAATACTATGAGACCACATTATTTGGGTTACGCAGTGAAGTGACATTTAACCTGTTTAAAGCTGCGCAGTCTGTCAAGTGTTTTCTGTCTCTCTTGGCTGACGCGGGAAATCCTCACTTCCTCCTCTTCCTCTTCATCCTTTTGGGCAGAAAGGCATGTATTGCAAGGAGTCTCTTTTTTCTATGAAATCTATGCATATTGAAATTCATTTCTAATTTGGAAAGTTGATTTTCTTTAAAGAAAATCGTCACAAACTGGTAGGTTAGTGAAACTCAAAGCTTTAATGGGTTAGTTAGAGAACTACAGGCTAACATCATGCTTGCTAACACATGGCAAATGGGAAAGGCAGCAAAATCACACACCTGCCGCAAAGCTTGTGGGGAGTCGAAGCCCTGGCCGCTCTGCCGTTGCTGCAGTTTCTGGGTGTGATTGACAATGCAGATCTCCTAATGAACAAACGCTCCAATCAGCACATATTGTTGCAGAGTTCAACTTTCTTGACACAATCTAATCAATACCATTTTAAAAGGAGAAATGCCAGACAGTAATCCGTGCATTTTGAGTGAAAACATCATAACTCCTATTTCAAACGATCTTTTTTAGGTTGTATTGAGCCATTCTGCTCTGTGACCGGCCTGTACCTTTTTGTTTTTGAGGTAGGCTTTTTTGGCGGTGATGCGGCCCCTCCTAGCCTCCAGCTGCCGTGTTCTCTGCTGCAGCTGGGTGACCTCGTCTCTAAGAGGTGGGAGGATGAATGAGGGGTCATCAGTGGCCTGCATGGCATCAGGACTCTCGTATGTGTCATAGTAAACCACCTCGTCCTGCCTCTCTGTGAACCAGACAACACAAAACATACATAAACACACAAAGATAAAGATTACACTGAACAAAAACGCATCTTTCACATACAAAATATTCACAATCCTTAACAGTGTTTATAGTCAACATCCTTCCTTAGGGCATTAAGATGTGGCAGAAAGCCAGAGAACTTGAGGTTTGATTCCAGCTAAGTGATGACATTGAATAAGATGGTGTTTAAGATGGACTGAAAATGGTTAATGGACAAAAAGCATTAGCCAAATATACACCGATCAGGCATAACATTCTGACCGCCTCCTTGTTTCTACGCTCATAGTCCATTTTATCAGCTCCACTTACTATATAGGTGCACCTTGTAGTTCTACAGTTACAGACTGTAGTCCATCTGTTTCTCTGCATACTTTGTTAGCCCCCTTTTACCCTGTTCTTCAGGACCCCCATGGACCCTCACAGAGCAGGTACTGTTTGGGTGGGGGATCATTCTCAGCACTGCAGTAACACTGACGTGGTGGTGGTGTGTTAGTGTGTGTTGCGCTGGTCTGAGTGGATCAGACACAGCAGTGCTGCTGGAGTTTTTAAACACCTCAGTGTCACTGCTGGACTGAGAATAGTCCACCAACCAAAAATATCCAGCCAACAGCGTCCTGTGGGCAGCGTCCTGTGACCACTGATGAAGCACTAGAGGATGACCAACACAAACTGTGCAGCAGCAGATGAGCTAGCGTCTCTGACTTTACATCTACAAGGTGGACTGACAAGGTAGGAGTGTCTAATACATAAGCTAGGTCACATTTTGGATCTGGTCATCACTAAAGGTTTAAAAACAAAGGTGTCCAAAATCTCTGATGTTTTCTTATCAGATCACTTCTGTATTTTCTTTCAAATCAATTTAGAAGTAAAGAAGAAAGTACCTGAAAGTTACTTTTAAACACATTACATAGACTCAGAAACAGTTGAAAAGTTTAAAACTGTTTATAATAGTTCAGCGAATACAGATACAACTCCATCCTGTAATGATCTAGTCTCCGATCTAAGTGCTAGATTACAGGAAGGCCTTGACCTTCTCGCCCCTATAAAAAGGAAGAAAAGCTCGCGCACTCTTAAAAATCCATGGATGAATGCGGAAATACGCCAGCTTAAGAGAAATTGTCGTAAATCAGAGCGCTTATGGAGGAAAACTAAACTGCAGGTTCACTATGATATTCTCAAAGAGCAGATCTCAGTCTATAATAATGCTATGAAAATATCCAGACAGTCATATCTCTCTAGTGTAATCAATAGACACAAAAATAATACCAAAATCCTTTTTTCCACTATAGACCGACTAATTAACCCTAACCTCTCTGCTAGTGTGTTTAATGATGATTTATATTCTAATATCTGTGAAGAGTTCGCAATTCATTTCCAAAATAAAATAGACCTGATACGACAGGGTGTAGCTCAGCAGACGCAAACAAGCTCCTATAATGTTCCTGATAGGTCACCTACATCAGTAATGACATCTTTCTCTGTTATCAACTATGAAGAGCTCACAACTATTTTAAACAAACTAAGCTCAGGTGTTTTTCCAGATGCTTTCAAAACTGCCCTGGTGAAGCCTCTGCTAAAAACAGTAGCATGGATCCTTCCATACTAAATAATTTTAGACTGATTTCAAACCTACCTTTTCTAAGTAAAGTTGCTTTCAAACAACTAAATACGTATCTAATATCAAACAATTTATATGAGAAGTTTCAGTCAGGTTTTCGTTCTAACCATAGTACAGAGACAGCATTGATTTGTGTTATGAATGACCTCAGGCTCAGCGCTGATGCACAAAATCCTTCTATTTTGATTTTATTAGATCTTAGTGCAGCCTTTGATACCGTTGACCACAAGATTTTACTCCAGCGTCTTGAATGCTGGGTCGGCCTCTCAGGCACAGTTTTAGAATGGTTTAAATCATATTTAAGTAATAGGCAGTTCATGGTTTCACTTGGAAATCATTCATCAAAACGATTTGCCGTTTCTTGTGGAGTCCCCCAAGGTTCAGTCTTAGGGCCTTTGCTTTTCTCTTTGTACATGCTACCTCTAGGTGATGTTATTAGGAAACATAGTATACATTTTCATAGCTATGCTGACGACACCCAGCTATACATTACTATTCCTTCTGGAGATCAAGACTCTGTAGACAGACTGACCAGCTGTGTGTCAGATATTCTCAGTGGATGTCGCAAAATTTTCTACAATTAAATCATGAAAAAACTGAATTACTGATTGTTGGTGCAGAAACTCAGAGAAAAATTATTTTTGAGAAACTTGGTTCTTTAGCTTCATCTACCAAACCTGAAGTACGAAACCTGGGTGTGATCTTAGACTCTGAGCTCTGTTTTACCTCACATGTAAACACGGTCACTAAAGTAGCTTTTTATCATTTGAGAAATATCGCTAAAGTTTGGCCTTTTCTGTCTCAGAGCGACGCAGAGAAACTTGTTCATGCATTTTTTACAAGCAGACTTGACTACTGTAATGCTCTTCTTGCTGGACTTCCTAAGAAAACTATACATCCCTAACAACTTGTACAAAATGCAGCAGCATCCTAACAAAAACAAAAAAGAGAGATCAGATCACTCCCGTTTTGAAAGAACTGCACTGGCTGCCTGTATCATTCAGGATAGATTTCAAGGTTCTGCTACTAGTCTTTGAAGCTCAAAACAACCTAGCACCTGCTTACATCACAGAGTGTCTGTGTGTTTATGTTCCGGTCCGCAATCTAAGATCTGCAGATAGTGGCCTTCTACAGATACCCTCTGTAAAATACAGAAAACATGGAGAGACTCTTTCAGTTATTCTGCTTCTAAACTGTGGAATTCAATTCCACCTTTTATTAGACAGTCAAGCTCAGTGCTCACTTTTAAGAAGCACCTAAAAACGTCTCTCTTTAAATTAGCATTTAACTAAAACTGAATGTCTCGTGGTTTTTATCTTGTAATTTAATCTTCATTTTCTTCTGATTCTAATTAAGTACTAATGATCTTTTCTATAATTATGTTTTATCACCTGTCTGTAAAGCACTTTGAGCTGCCACTGGTATGAAAAGTGCTATATAAATAAAATTATTATTACTATTATTATTATTATTATTATTATTATTATAGAGTGGACAGTGAGTGGACACAGTGTTTAAAAACTCCAGCAGCACTGCTGTGTCTGATCCACTCGTACCAGCACAACACACACTAACACACCACCACCACGTCAGTGTTACTGCAGTGCTGAGAATGATCCACCATCCAAATAGTACCTGCTCTGTGAGGGTCCAGTGGGGGTCCTGACCACTGAAGAACAGGGTAAAAGGGGGCTGACAAAGTATGCAGAGAAACAGATGGACTACAGTCTGTAACTGTAGAACTACAAAGTGCACCTATATAGTAAGTGGAGCTGATAAAATGGACAATGAGCACAGAAACAAGGAGGTGGTCATAATGTTATGCCTGATTGGTGTAAGCAGTACTTTGAGGACTACTATCCAGATATTAGAGATGCCTGATGTGTCCTGCATGTAGCAAGTGAGCAGCTGAGACTAACCGGTCATCTGCCTGCGCAGGCTCTGCAGCTGCGCAGTCAGCAACAGCTCCTCATACTTCAGGATCTCAAACTGGATCTCATATAGCTGCAGCTGCAGCTCGTAGTACAGCGCCTCCAACTGGTCCAAACGTGCCATTGCATCCTCTCCACCCTGCAGTCCCTGCATCTGAGAGAGAAATTGTGAAAGATTAGAACAGTAGTTTTTAAACCGTTCCTCAGGAACCCCAGAGCGCCCACATATCAGCTCCATCCCTACGTGTTGCGAGCTGGGCTGGAGCAAAAATGTGGATTGTGTGGGGTCCTGAGGACCAGCTTGAGAACCTGGATTAGAGATCTTCAAGTTTAGACCTTGAATCTTATTTCTTTTCCTGGTTTTTCCAATCACTGATCTGCAAACAGTAACTTTCGGATGTCATGTGCATTACCGTATTTATGTACGTATGTACGTGTGTATAATTGCTGTGATAAACTTAAATCTTAAAATCTCCAAATCGGAACCATTTTACAAGAATGCAAATGTTCTTAACTTTAATGTATGTAATTTTGCAGCTTTTACATTCTTCCATCATGAAATGTTTCCACAACATAACAGACAGCTGGTGTTTTCAATTGATTGGGGAAACAAATAACAAACGAAGCCCAAGGCGTATGGATGTAAATACATGAATGGTTGGGTGTGAGTGTATATATGTCTATATATGCATATGGATATGTTTTCTACCTCCTCTCTCAGTCCATGTTTCCTCTGTTCCAGACAGATCTCCTTGGCGCGCATTAGTTGCAGTGTTTCCTTGGAAACAGCATACTGCAATTTCTCCATGCGTTCCACTGCGGCTCCCCACGCAGCTTTACCAAACTTCCTCTGATCTGCACGCATGCGCTCATACATCACTGAAACACAAACACATACGCACACATGCTACTGTCTCACTGTAAACAGTCACCTAAGCATTTGCACATTCTAGTGAAGTCCATGTCCTCCTCAGTCTTGTGGTTTCCCTGCTTTAAGAAACCTCATTCAGCTGATCAGGTAATTGGTCTGTCTCTGCTTCTATCACAAAGGCATTCTTTCACAGTCACCGCTGGACTGGACAAGGTTGGACAAGCTTTACATAATTTTGCCATTCAAATTCCATTTAACCAAATGAGAACCTGTACAACTCAGATTTTGTCAAAATACAGAAAATATTCACAATAAATAGCTACCGCATGTGTTCAGCTGCTAACTAACATTGAGATTCCAGTTCAAAACGCTACGCTACCGAGCTGGACCATGTTGTCGTAGTTCATCAAAGCTAGCTAGATTGGAAACGTAGTGTTAACTCAAACAAATAAATAAATATATAAATAATATTCCTTACCTTTTCTAATAGTGACTTATCAAATGCTTTTCTAAATGTAGTTATTTTGACAAAAATGACTACAAATTCTCATTAGGCTGAACAGGATTTTTCATTTCAAGTTTTCATTTCCATTTTTTGACTAAAAGAAAAAAATTAAACGATTAAATTGGTCTACATAGTGTCAACATCTAATCTAAACTGAAAATTAATGCAATTCTTAAATGGAAATCACATCGCAAATTTCTTTTGGGAATAAACTTTTTTACCTCTCGTTTTGAAAGTTTTTACTGCAAACATGTTTGTTAGATAATGCTGAAGATTATGTCCGTTCTTTCTCTAAATCTTGAACAGTAAAGCTAATAGCACCCCCTGCTGGAGAAACTTCAGACTGCTAGACGTGTCCATGAGCATTACATATTAAAAAACAAGATGTTTTCCTAAAGTGCGGGTGCCCTGTAATTCAGCTTTAGATGCTCTTTGGGAAAACATAAATATTATATATTAATCATTTTACAACTTTTCATTTTTAATATTATTTAGCAATTTGTTTAAAGTTAAATTAGTCCTTAGGCTTTCTCAGTTCTCTTTCCCAACATGGTGATTATGGCGTCATCAACATTAATATGTTAATTCACTAGCATAAACAAAATGGCAAATTATATATAAAAGAGCCCTTTCCTTTCATTTTTGTTTTTTTGCCAAGTGTGTCCTGAATTTCGGTTTCAATCAAGAATCTTTATTTAGTTGCATCCCTACAAAGTAAAGATTGTCCATCTTCACAACAGCTGCTATGATGTGGCTGGAGCTTGGAATAGGTCAGCAATCAAGCCCTTGATGACCCGAGTCTGATGCAAATGCATGAACGTGCAGAGAAAGAGAAAGGGTGCAGTACCTTTCTGTGCTCGTGCTGTGGTCTCGAAGTACTTCACGGTAAGGTCCTGGATAGAGAGCACAGCCGTGTGGGCCTTCCTCTGCCAGTCCTCATCCTCCCTCCTCAGCGCCTCGACTCGTCGCGGGCCCAGGTACTCCGTCTCCAGCGAAATCTGCAGAGAAGATACACAAACACCTTAAACACCAGGATACACTTCAGATCAGGCAGTGTGAGCTTCAGACTGAGGAGGGTTTTCTCACTGAGAGAAGGTTGCTTTCTCCATCAAAAGGCTCAATATAACCTCCCTTATTTTGGTTGATTCACCTCTAAAGACACACATGCAGACAAGTCAGACGAGATCCAGCTTGTAGAGAACTCTCACCTGATACATGCAAACACACCTGGATGACAAACACCTGCCTATGAATCAAAGCTGGCCAAAACTGCAGCAGACCGGAAAAGCAAGATGGCAGCCCTGCAGGCTATGAGAGGATTCTGTGGTACTCAATGGCTGTTAAGAATGACAAACGTTTAGTAAACAAAAGAAGGATGAGGCCTAAATCAAGAAGCCCAATTATAATAAAGAATACCGATCAGGCATAACATTCTGACCGCCTCCTTGTTTCTACGCTCATAGTCCATTTTATCAGCTCCACTTACTATATAGGTGCACTTTGTAGTTCTACAACCATCTGTTTCTCTGCATACTTTGTTAGCCCCCTTTTAGACACAGCAGTGCTGCTGGAGTTTTTAAACACCTCAGTGTCACTGCTGGACTGAGAATAGTCCACCAACCAAAAATATCCAGCCAACAGCGTCCTGTGGGCAGCGTCCTCTGACCACTGATGAAGCACTAGAGGATGACTAACACAAACTGTGCAGCAGCAGATGAGCTATCGTCTCTGACTTTACATCTACAAGGTGGACTGACAAGGTAGGAGTGTCTACTAGAGTGGACAGTGAGTGGACACCAGTGTTTACCAGCGCAACACACACTAACACACCACCATCACGTCAGTGTTACAGTGCTGAGAATGATCCACCACTCAAACAGTACCTGCTCTGTGAGGGTCCATTGGGGTCCTGACCACTGAAGAACAGGGTAAAATGGGGCTAACAAAGTATGCAGAGAAACAGATGGACTTTAGTCTGTAACTGTAGAACTACAAAGTGCACCTATATAGTAAGTGGAGCTGATAAAATGGACAATGAGTGCAGAAACAAGGAGGTGGTCATAATGTTATGCCTGATCGGTGTACTAGTTAAATGGGCTGTAGTGATACACTCGACTCATGACTCGATATGATTTGCAATACTAAGTTCACAATTCAAGTCAAGTCAAATTTATTTGTACAGCACTTTTTTCAACGTTCTCATTATATTCAGAACAAAATTTGAATGAAGCAAATGATTTTTTAATAATTATTTTAATAATTATTCATAATCTACTAATGTTTCCACTGAATGGGAAACATTAGTAGATTAGAGTGTGTGTGTGTGTGTGTGTGTGTGTGTGTGTGTGTGTGTGTGTGTGTATATCTGCAGAGTGTTTTTAACTGTACTACGAATAGGGTACTATTGGCCACCGTATATATCAGTCAGTAAAGTATTATTATTAAGTATTAAGTGACCCTTATTTGTCCCACAACGGGGAAATTTCACCTCTGCATTTAACCCATCCGTGCAGTGAAACACCACATACACACTAGTGAACACTCACACTAGGGGGCAGTGAGCACACTTGCCTGGAGTGGTGGGCAGCCCTATCCACAGCGCCAGGGAGCAGTTGGGGGTTAGGTGCCTTGCTCAAGGGCACTTCAGTCACGTACTGTCGACTCAGGGGACCTTCCGATCACAAGGCTGGTTCCCTAACCTCCAGCCCACGACTGCCCCCCTGTTTAACTAAAACTTTTGGAGTATAAAATAAAAATCTTAGATGCAAATCTAAAATGATCTTGGCCAGTATTATCAGCTGTCTAGTTTTTAGCCCCCTAAAATCAGTAAAGGGACCACAATATTTTCATATTGGTCTAACCCTAACTGTTACACCTTTATCAACTGCACACTTTTTTTGTTGTTTTCAAACTGTTTTGTTAAGTAACGGACTAACCCAGCGCTGCATACCTGCAGGTATCGCATTGTTCTGTTTTGGTCCAGCATTTCCAGATCCTGACTGTGGGTTTCCCCATGCACTACATATTTTTGTTTTCCTTACCAGCTTTTGTGTTTGCTGCTGAGAAACAGTGGCGGACCCAAAACAAAGAGAGTTTTTGTTGGACCTGCTGACAGGAATTCCTTTCCAAAAGTCATGGCACTGGATACAATGAAACCTTGGCATGAACAAGGCTGCCACCTAACGAGCTGTACTCTACCAGCACTACCAGTAGCTTCCAGCATGGCTTAAAGAAACAGAGGAAGAGTAGGGGTGGGCCGCAGACAGCTCTATCCCAGACCGAGTTCCCATAAAACAAACAAGGTCTTTCCTCATCAATCTGCTTTCATCTTCTCTGAACTCCGTCTGCACTAAAACAGGTGTACTAACTGCAGCATGTGTGCGCCCATGAGCTCCTGAGAACAGAATGTACAGAAACGTGCACGTCCGTAGAGACCCTCAGCACGCAGCATCCACACAGTTAAAAATATTGTAATGTAAAACAGATGCTGCTGCGGCTTACAGTAGATCACGTGTGCAGGCATACCCACAGACACATACACACAGCTCTTATTACTGCAATAATTGAGCAGCATAGGAAAATTCCCACTCCCATGAGAGTTCTTAGATTTTAAGGTTATGTTCAAAGGTTTAGTGCAGTCACAGATCCAGTCTGGGGGAACAAGAGCCAGACAGGAAAGCTGAGGACGAAAAAGAGGAAAAAAGTAAGCAGGAGTCAGAAAGTGAGCCTCTACCAAGTCCTGTGAATTAGACACGACCTCATAGCTCAGGTATCTTTTATTTGAGATGGGCGAGCATGCGCACACATAATGGCTTTAAAAAAAAAAAGTCTCTCTATTTTTGTTGATTTTAATTTTTTGACATCATTTCAACAAAGTGGATGCCCTTCACATTCTGTGAAATGTTAATGATGAATGGACCAACAGAAATGTTCTGAAATTACTTGAAATAAGACATCTTTACATTAAAAGTTAAAATAACTTTTAATATAAGTTTATATAATCCCTCCCGCTGGAGGGATTATATCTCCAAGTTGGCCTGGGAGCGGTTTAGGGTCTCCCGGAATGAGCTGGAGGAAGATGCAGGGGACAGGGTCATCTGGGATTCTCTGCTCTCCCAACTGCTACTGTGACCCTATCTGGATTAAGCGGTTAATGATGAATGAATGAATTTTGAGAAGGTTTTAGTCTAAAACGTCATTTTTAAAATCCATTCATGGTGGAGAGGTATGTGCAGAGTGTTGTGAGGCAAAACAGTCTGAAAACATTATAAACATTAGATATAAAACTCAGAAGACTCGTGTTGGTTCACTGGTGGTTTTGGATAGTAATTAAAGCATCTCTAATTGTGTTGTAGTCATGGTGACCCCTGGTTCCTATCACCACCACTGTGAAGACATCTGAGTCTCTACAATCAACCATTTCACACCAAACCACTCTGAATGAACATTTCAACCAGTGAATTATATAGAAATTCTTAACGGTCAATGGAAATCAATTTTAGGTGTGGAATGAATTAGAAATAAAAAATAGAAATAGAAAAAACAGGGTTGATAATAAAATGAGTCTGTGACAAAGAGGCAGCGAGCGTTTGTGGTGGCAGACAGAGTAGTTAATCACCCACAGAAGTATGTAAGGTAATTTTGTGAAAACCAGATGGCAGGTTAGCAGCGTGACATCAACAAGGAGTGCCAGGTGCCCATGCAGTGTGGGGGATGATGTGATAATGTCTCATGGTTGGTCTCTGTATGGTAATCATAACCCTCCTCGGTTCCTGGCCACTCCCCTTTAAGAGCTAACACCTGTCTGTGGTCACAGACGTGCAACGCTAGCCACAGGGTGAACCTTACAGACTGAATTATATATGACCACGACAGAGTAAGAGCCACATAAACACACACATGTTCATCATGTCTACTTAACTGTTACCTGGCAAAGGACAATGGAAAAATGAAAAGGGATGATGGGTGATGTGAGTATGTTGGCGCAGAAAGCATACAGGCTACAGCAGACTAGGCTGCTCACTGTCCCTGAGGTTCCTGAGCTTCCTGTCCACACTCCTGGCTAAAGGAAGTTTTAAGCTGGCTATCCAAACCCCTCTGCTTTGGATCAGATGCTGGACACTAGTCTACATACTGATTATATCTCATTTTAAGAGATGTTGTAAGAATGTCACTGTTTATTTCTGGACTTTTTTACTTGTTTGAAGACACAGGCAATTCAGTTATTTTAAGAAATATTGCAGATAATTTTGCCTTTTTTCAAGAAATAATGATGAGGTAAAGTAAACCACCAAAAGAACAAGTAAGGCATGTTTGTAAATTAGTTAATAAATATTATAAAGCGCTTACAACGTTCTAAAATTGAGAAACTTTAGACAGTTTGACTCGATTTAAGATGATTTCACTTGGCAAGATAATTTTTGCAGCGAAGCTAGGAATTCTACAGCTTTTCCCATATGCAGTGGCTAGAGCTCAGTTGAGGACCATTATGTCAGTATCTGCAATGGCATTTGCATGATGGCATGTTAGTTAAAGGGGAATTTCCACTGATTTCTCAAAATTTCTGCATAATGCCACTGTAAACAAATTCACACGGAGTGGTATGATGTGAGATTATAAAACATTACAGAGCATTATACACTGTTAGAAATAAAGGTTCTGTGCAGGTCATCAAGGTACAAACAATGTAAATGTTCCCTCAAAGGTACAACAGTGGTTCTAAGGTCTGATTGCGAACCTTAAATCAGTTTTTCCAGGTGAAAAGTTTGTATTTGTACCTTTTCATAACCAAATGTTTTAAACAGAACAGTAAAATAAAAGCCTGGACACGAGACGGGGTGTGTGGAGTCAGTACAGCTTAGAAAATACCATTTCAGTGGATTATGGTTCAGTTATGTTCCCTGACTAAAGGTACTGAGATGTACCCTTGAGGGTCCCACCCCAGTAACAAGACGGCTACTGACAGTTTACTACCTTTTTTTCTGAGAGTGTAGAGAAA